AGCTGTGGTGTCTCTGGTTGCTCTAAGCCTGTAAGTATATCTGACTCTTTACAGTTTACAAAAAAATCTACAATACACTAAAGCTTATGCAACCAGTTTTTGTTTAACAATCACTAAAATTGTTGATCTGTCATTTTATTATAATGTGTTTGTTAAAATAGCTGGGCAATTAATCAAAACTATTGATTTTTTTATAATGTTTTTTGTAAAAAATGAGAGCATTTGTGGTTATTCTTTATGTTCTCAGGTTGTTCTTCCTCTATTGGAGCAGTATGTAAAAAACCATCACCTATATTTCTTGTCCACTTCTCTGAACTCAAACGATAACAGAAGTCATGCCTCGAAAAAGGAAAAAGAGATGCTTTTGTGGTATGCATAACTTGTATCTAAAAACCATGGGGGAGAAAATCATATTTAATATTATTTCTTCTAGTTTTATAGGGCATTATTATACAGTAGTGTACATATGCTGTTATCTTGTAGCTTGTCACTCTTTCACTTTTTTTTTTTTCTTAAATCCAGTCTCTTCTGTAAGCTTTCTGCTTTGGTACGACACAGACTCTCCCTAATTGGTAAGAAACAACACTTGTTGAAACAATTATTTGCCTCACTATGTTTTCTCTGTGCTTGATATACTCTTGTATTCTAATGCCTTCTTCTTGACAGGCTGTCTGACTTTTGTATGGGGCTCTTTAGTTTCTATATCTTCACGTGTTTTTGTCACTGAATTTGCATTCATAAAGTGCCTTATTTTGACATGATTTGAAACCAGCAGTGCTTTATGTCTTACCAGGAGATGAAGCTTCTGCCATCACAAGCTGTCTAAGCATCCTGGCTCAGGCTCTTGATGCAAGGTAGCTAGATGGCACTAATGTCACATTGCCTTAAATTTATCCTGTTCTGCCTTCAGTTTTATCAGTATTGCACTACCATGTCTGAGGCTAAGATGTATGGTGTAATTGAGCAAGAAATACACTGATGTTATCTGGTTGTGGTAGATATCACTTTTATTGCCTGCAGTCAACAATTTTAAATCATTTCATTGGAACATTTGTTCATCACAGGTTGTTGCCATAAAGGCTGATTAATTTCTTTACAGCTCTATAAGTATTTCACTTAACAAGCATGAGGGATCTCAGCTTAAAATGTTAGTCATCTGTCATTTTCAAAATATTGAGGTGTATCTCTCTAATTCCTTACAAAGTTGGAACTTCTTTATTATATAGATGTGTTTTATATAGCAGCGTATTTTAAAGCAGAACTTATATGAAAATATGACAAAAATAATCAGGGGCTCCAACCTATTGCATCTGTCATTGCATTATATAAAAAATATAACCGTGGATGTCTGGGAGACAGTGATTCGCCTACCTGTTATGAATGCTGGCGTACCATAAAGAATAAATTATGAACAGTTTAGTTTGTGCCTTCAACTCCTTGCCCATAGGAAGATGTTACTTGGATTTAACCTAACGGAATATCTTCAGAACAGCTCCAAATGAAACAAAACTCATATGGGTGGGTAGAACTTGATGTAATAACGTAAAATCAAGGGCCCAATTTAAAAAAAAAAAACGGCGTTCCCCTTTAAGGGAGCCGCTTGGCTTTAAAAGTTACACATAAAGCTTTCATTATACTGGGTGTCATGCATTTTTTTTTCTTTTACTCTTTTTTCCTCCACCTAACTTTCCATTACCATGTTTGGTTACAACCCACAAACAGCCAGCTGCCTTACTTGTGATATCAGGAGGCTTGACCTCCTTACTAAATGTCTCTGTGAATATGTGCTAAACAGTTGTGAGTGTGCAGTCCATAATAGGGTCATAGCACAACAAATCTGTAATTAAATAAGTATCTAAATTGTTTGACCAACTGAATTTTGGATTTTAATAAGCTGCCAGCCACAGATATAGAATTTAAAGACTCAAAGTATGTTTATGACTGAAATTGGCCCATTTCTGGGTGATTTCATAGTTTTTAACTAATTTCACAAATACAGCTGTTTTACATACGATATTCGATTTAAATGTGCCGGACCATTTTTGTCTAGAGTGCATCAAGATTAAACATTAGATATGACACTTAGCTTTTCTTTGATATACTTTTCTCCTTTCTCTGCATCTAGAATATTGATGGCATCAGCTTCAGAGTCCATACAGAGTTCTCTGCATTCATTTTTTGAAGCAGCGGCAGCAGATTTGGAAATGACTGTGGAAAAAATATCAGAGACCTTGCCTCAGAGCAGGGGTCAGTTGTCAAGAGCTGTTGTCAGTGTCCTTAACTACACTACCTCCATTTTGATCCCAACACTTACATCACTCTTCCATCATATCGGCAATCAAAACCATGGAGTGGATGTTCTAGGTAATGAAAAATATTCTTTTCAGTACAGTAATTATCATTTCTAGTCAAAAACACAGACTTTCTCTACTTGTTTATTAAAGGCAGAGTTATTAGTAGTACTAATGTAAGTTTTTGTTATGTGCAGGGAGTTGTAGGAACATATTTTCCTCTCTTTGTAACATTTAAAATGTAAAAAAAAAATCATTAATTGCATCACCTTAGTTTTTCTTGCAGCTTCTCAAAAGAGGTTTCTGAGTTTTAAACATTAATGTTTGTCTTTGCAGTTGGTGGTATCCAGGTGTCATGTTATAAGATTTTAAACAGTCTTTACTCTCTGGGGACCAGTAACAGCATCTACATGGAGGGGTACTGCTCATCTTGTTTACATTTCATGTTTTTTCCATTGTTATATTTTTTTCATATGAGGAGCTTTTCAAAAATGTTAAGTCTTAGATATGATCATTTCACTACATTCTAATCACAAACTTCAAGGTATTTTTCAGGTTATTTTGTTATTCACCAACACAAAGTATTGTGTAACCACAAGTAAAAGAGGTTTACAAAGTTTCACAATTTTTGGCGGGAAATAATTAGAAAAGTTTGGCATTCATATGTATTTTGTACCTCTTATTCTGATAACTCTAAAATCTTTCTGCATGCAATCAGTTGCCCTTAAAAGTCGCTGCATTATACAATTAGTAACAACACTCATTTCAAAATATATGCCTAAAGTTTCAAGCTATCATTAAACTCTGCCATTTAGGGTTTTAATGCAGTAGTGGAGAGAGGTAGACCAAACCAAAAGTTTGTCAGAGTCTATATCTTTTAACAGCTGCAAGCTAAATAATTCTCTGCAATTTACTGGATTACTTACCTAAAACATCATGCCAAAAGTAAACATCACAGATACTGAGGAGAGATCAGCTTATACAGTATCATATGGATACCTGTAGCATTCAATCCTAACTCCATTTAAATTGCAAGTCAAAACAATTCCCATTGATGTGAGAGAAATTTTCAAATAGCTGCTGTGCTGCGTTCAGTTACAGCTCTTACACTAGGTATTCTGATGGTCAAAGCAACTCCAAATTGATTTAAACATGTTTTATTCTCAAATATGTTGACAGTCCTTTTCATTTTTTTTTTTTTTTTACCAACATTAACAATGACAATTTCCAAGGCTTAATTTTCCTGTTTAATCTCTCTATCCATTTAGCTACTATAGGTCTCCTTATGGTATATTCTCTACACTCTGCCAGTAATTTATACACTTTCTACCTGTTTAAGTATATAGAATATCTTAAATTCTAATTGTTTTCAGAAAAAAATGCTCATTTGTCTCCATCTGACCAAATATTTAATTTCCCTTTTTAGTTCATCTTATATGAAGTGGACCAAAAATATACCAACTCATGACTTCAAAAGCTTATTATGTACCAAACTGTGATTCTGTATACTTTTACATCCCCCTAGGGTTAATAGAAAAAAAAAAGGGGGAATAAACATAATGTGGACAAAAGAACAAACTAGACAGGCTGGTAAAGCAATTGTAGAGATGCTTTATTAAACAATATCCCAAGGTTTGAGCAATCAAGGCATGATTCCACTATAACATAATCCAGACAGTATGTCAATACAAAGTTAACTCAAACAGGTCATCATTATACTAAAACATGATGCTGGGGGTACCATGCTGTGTTAAAGAATTCAAGGTTCATAGAAAAATGGATGTAGATTGTATATAGATGTAACGTACCTTTTATATAGTTTGCAACCTTAAATACCGGCCAGTTCTGAAAAAAAAAAAAAAAAAAAAAAAACTGCTGGAGGCTGTAAAAGACGAGCCTGGGGCGAGGGTTTGTTTTACAGCAGAAAAACAACCGTAAATGTATACAACTAGAGCTTAACTGATTAAGATCAAATTATATCAATGTGTTAGTGTGGTGTAGCTTAAGGCAACATCAAAACCTAAGTACAGTTCAGGCATGCTGCAAGAATATAAAATAGGTATTCGTAGGTTCTCTTCTTAAATTTAACAAAGGCTGAGTAATTTTATGAAGAATGTACAAAAAAGTGCAGTTCATAAAGTAAGTAAGATTTTATTATATAGCAACTTTCTCAGACAAGTGTAACAAAGTTCTGTACAATATGAGGCATAAAATACAAAGCAGCACCATACAAAATACATATAGACAAAATAAATACAATCAAAGCAGCACTTGATAAAATTTGTCTAAAATATTTGAATAAAAAATAATATTTTTAGTTGTTTTTTAAAATAATAAATGGAGTTACCCAAGCACAGGTAAAGTGGTAGAGCATTCCACAGTCTGGTTGGAAATTGAGATTTGTATTTGTAATGTGACTAAAGGATCGTAATTAAAATCGGTACAAATGCTTTAGTCAGGTTTTGTAATAAATGTTTTGTCTTTCTTTGCTTTTATATATAGTCAGAGGTTAGCAGCGGGTGCATGTCTAGCAGCTCTAACTGCTGCTTTTCCTGTCTGCTTCCTGGAGCCAACTCTGAACCACAACAATCCACATTCTATCTATAATACCATGAGTCATACAGAGATTAAAGGTAAACTATGATTATTCTTGTTCATATATGTGTGCTTGATCTTCATCCCTATTAAAAAAACTCCTTCCTCATTTAGATCAGGGACTACCAGATCAGGTGGAGGACATGTGTCACCCTCTTCCTTCATTGGAAATTGCACTGGGGAAAGTGGAGGAGCTGGCAGGTGCTGGAGCTGGAGCTCATCAGATGCAATACATTCATGTTGCAGAGGTCATTTTGCCCATGCTGTGCAGCTATGTTTCACACTGGTGTCGGGGGGGCTCTGATGGCCACCACGAAAGCCCAGTTTTCACGTCTGTTGTTCCTCACCATGCGAGCGACCTGATTGGTTACATTCTGCGCATTATCCACAATCATGTGGGTGCTAGCCAGGGGGACTGGATAAAACAGCTTGCAGGTATATTGACACCATATGAGACCTGTCCCCAAAACACTGGTTCCTGCTGTTGACAGGTGTCTCTTCTTTTAGTTTTTTCTCTGCCAATCATCTGCAAAGCCCACAGCGAGCTGTTAAAAAGTCACTTTCTCCCCTTGATGGAGAAGCTCAGAAAAAGGACAGAGTGTGTCCAACTAGAAGAGGAGCAACTGAAAGCGGAAGACTGCAGCAGTTCTGAAGCAGAGTTGCAGATACAGGAGAAATACAGAGTTCTGGTTCAGGACCTGTATGCCTTCTATCCTCTCCTCATCCAGTTCGTCGATTTTAATCGGTAAGCGTTTAAGATAAAAAAAAGTTCAAGTGTGTATAAACTAATCTTGTAAAGAAAGACTTAAGCATTTATAGTAGTTATAATCATGCATCTGACACAAAAACCTTTTCAAATTAGTTTGCTAATCCATTGCAGAGTTTTTGTTTGAAAAGCCATTGATTAATTTTTTGTGATTGATATATAAAAAGACATAATTTCTTAAACCACAGTACAAATTATTGTTTTAGGCTATGCTCAGCTTTACAGGAATAACTTCTGTGATGTTAATGCATTTTGGTTGGTCTCGTTTTAGAGCCAGATGGCTGAAAGAGACGATCCCTGAGGCTGAGCAGCTGTTCAGCATGGTGGCAGAGGTCTTTGTATTCTGGGCCAAATCTCATGTAGGAAAGACACACAGCTTTTTTTAGACTTCTGCCATATCAGATATGTTACATGAGAATCCTGTACCTCATAAATATTGCTTATAGTTCTCATCTGTGATTTTTCTATAACAGCATTTCAAATGGGAAGAACAGAGTTATGTGGTCCAGAATCAAATCAACAACTTAGCTTTCTCGTTTTCCAGCGACAACAGAATGGAGGTCAGCTACAATTATAAGACCCTCTGTTTATGCATGCAATTATGTGAAATACTAATAGTCTATTACTAGTTGTATATTTCAGTGCAAAAGTGAAAGTTTTGAATTTTCTGGGCATGATTGTTAGTTTAAGCATAAAAAGAGAAGGATGAAGAGGAAGGAGGATCGCTATTCTGCACACACATCTCTCATAGTCGCTGCCATGAAGAGGCTTGTTCCTGTGGGACTCAGAGTTTGTTTTCCTTTTGACCAGAGCCTTATCATGTTGGCTAAAAGCTGCTTCTCTCAGGTCAGTCTCAAATGTGGTGTTATTATGCTCTCCTGTCCTTAGAATGTCCTTAGTTCATTGGTAATTCTTTAGGCTGTAGTTATGCATGTCTAACTAGAAGGATATTTTATATTTTTAATAAATGTATTTTTTTTATTTTACAGAATAAGCCTGAAGATGAGATTCAGGAGCATATTTTGAGTTATCTCAATCAGTTTCATGGTCAGGTAGGTAATGGCAGTTCATCTAATTGTGATGGTTTTGTTCTATATATCATGCATTACATATCTATATGTATTCTTGGCTAAAAAGCTCTTGAAAAAGATTTTAAAATCTCAAGGAACCTCCTTTTTAAAAAATGATTAAATTCTTATAAAGCATCAAAAGAAAAAGTATAACACCTGCACCTGTGACGCCCACTGGTTTCTGATGCACTCTCTGATGTCAATATAGAGCAATATAAATCATATGTACAATCAAATGTAATTCATTATCAAGCAGCAAATTCACATGATAGATATATGGATTCTAACATTCATAAATGTAGTTTTGGTTTTTATTTAAGTCAATTTCTATGATCATGGCTTACAGCTACTTACAATCCAAAACTGAAGTCCTTCATGAGTTAATAAAAATACCTTAATAAACTAAATGTGCAGACTTACAAAATTAGCACATATTTTTATCAATACATTTATGGCAAAATAAGGTGTATTTTTGCTGCATCCGTAAATAACTGAAAGTTACCAACCTTGAGGCATGTCCATGTTTTTCGCCATTATAGAAACATGAAATGAGACTAGCAAACTAAAAAATGAGGCTAACATGCAAACAAGCCAAACATACAAAAATCAAAAGTGCTGCAATCACAGAAAGAGAGAACAGCATAGTGCAAATGTGCTGCAAACACATAAAAGATGCTAACACACAAACACATTCATGCAAAGGTAAAATGCTGCAACTAGGAAAAAAAAACAGCTGCAACTAAAAAAAGAAAAAAACTAGGGGAAAAAAACAGCTGCAAGTAAAACAACAAACAAACAAAAAAGCTGCAAACTAGCTCTGCATAATGGAAATGATTCCCACTACTTGGGGGAGACCATAATCTCCTTATATGGGACCAGAGCATAAACCTTACTATGAATTAAGACCAGATCTGTTATATTAACAAATAAATTCCCACTTGGCACAAAAAATGATGAAATATCTTTATTAGGACTTGCAATAGATGGGCTTGTTGCGGGTGATCTTCAAACATTGCTGCCCAATTATTAAAAGGTGAAAACTGATTTGGTTCGCCCATTAAAATGAGCAGATTGTGTGTCCGACTAACAGTTTCAGATTGGCCGTAAAAGAAAGATGATGTGGAGGTAATTATGATTGAGATGGAAGTAAAAGACAAACAACACTGCTTCATGCATGGTCATGTTTTATTAACATTTTGGAAAAATAAGAGATACACACTTTCATATCTGTATAATATGTGCTAGCCTGGATAGACATTTTCTCTTTATTATTATTATGCTATTATTGTTACTTTTGATTGTCAAGTTATGTCTATATTGACACAGAATATGTCGCTATCCTCTGGCATTGTAATGTGTGTATATATATATATATATATATATATATATATATATATATATATATATATATATATATATATATATATATATATATATATATATATATGCTTTGTAATATTCACCTCACTTTCAGTAGTGCTAAAAAAAAAGACGTAAAAACTGCCGCCGCAGTACAGTCCTGAATTACAAAATTGCTATGCAAGTTGTAAATGAATACATTTGCATATTCTTCACCCCCAAATTTGTGTTGTTTGGTCATTACAATATGATCTACATATTGATGAAGGAACACACACAAATAAAGGTTTTCACACGCTGTATTACAAATGCAAATCACTTTGCACCTTTCTTTAAGATCTGCTCTGCCCGTTCAAACATGTTTGCATTTGTTTTAAGATGTGTAGACCCACTGAAGATCAAGCCCTTGGTCGCTTTGAGTGTCACATTAATTTTCCTTCTCAGGATCATGAACTATATGAGTTGATCTTTTCCACCATGTGGTACAGAGCTCCTCCATTATGTTGTGTCAGTTTGCAGCTTTTGTTGACATGAGGTTGTTTTGCTATTTGCTGCTCTTTGCTCTTTTCTTGTCGGTTCTTGTCATCATGTATGTCTACACAACAAGTTGTGATTTTGTATTTTGTTTGCACTTTGCACCCTTACTTTCTCTGATTGAAATATTGATATTGAAAAAAAATATTGATATTTTGTTTGTTTATTTTAGCGTTATATTTTAGTTTAAAATGTTTTTTTTTTTATAATTTTTCATTTTAAAATGCTTTGGTTAAAAGATTTTGTTAAAATGTTTTTTAAATCTTCTCGCCACGAGCAACATTTTCCATTTGCATGGGTTTTGTGCGATATCATGTATGTGTTTGCAGCAGGTTTTGTATCTGCAGTTGGTGTGTCTATTTTCTGTGATTACAGCATTTCTCCTTTGCAGCCTTTTACCTTTCTATGTCTTTATACCTTAACTAGTTTTCCTTTATTTTTCTGTTCTCATTTAGGAGTTTGCAGTAGCTTTAGTATTTGGTGTGAAATTGTGTTTTTGAGTACATTTGCACCCTGTTGATATTCCAGAAACTAGTGTAAATTATTTAAAACAAGAAATTGCCATTAACCTAATGAAAATCAGTGTAAATCAGTTTGTTAAATTGCCAGTGTAACACTAACTTTTTTATTTCCCCATATAGATGTAACTCATTTAAGTTATTTAAATTATCCTAATTATTGGAACAATTATGGAATTTCTTTTTCAAAGTGTAGGTAGGAAATGCCCAAGTCACTTTTTTATTAACTGTGCGTGATCAATTTAACTGTTCAGCCACCATCGTGTAAAAATAATGCACCAAATAGTTGGTTGCATTTTTTTCTTAGGAGGCCTCCCTGTTCTTTTCATAAAGTTTTTAGACCAGTCACTTATTGCAACTTTCAGCCAATGTCTACGTTGAGTGCAGTGAAGATACATCTATGCTAACTGGACACATAAACACTATAAGTATGAATGCACAGAAAGAGCACACAGATTGTTGACAATTGCACTGTTGCAAACTCCTTTGCAAGTAAAGCCTCAATAGGCTGCCGAAAAACTGACTAGAGGACGGCAGATGAGATGACAAAATTTACATTTTCAATCATTCTTTGACCCATCCTCTAGAAGAGAAGGATTAGACTCTAAATGCATTTAAAACTAAAAATAAACTGTTAAAAATGATTATGGCACAACCTTATACCCGCTCCTGAGAGGGAATGCCTATTAAATGCCTGCGAGAGCATGCATACATTCTAAAAGAAGTTTTGCAATTTTTCCACTATGTCAATTTACCACTGGTGTTATGCAGAGAACTACCTGCCTGTCGAGAATTACCTCCCCTCTCACTCACTGATGAAAAAAAAGGGATTGAAATATGAAGGGAAAGGGAACTTTACTTTACTGCTCCCAAGGGGATGAGTTAAATGAGGAGGTACATTTTTTCAATGTGAGATCAATAAAGTTCAATTATTTATTATTATTTAAAACATATTCTTAATATTTTCATATCTCTAATGCATGGATGCCCTAAAATTTAGAGTCTTGTGGACAGATAAATGTTGAGAAATTCCTGCCTGCCGAGAATTACCTTCACTGAGCAGAAGAAAATTTTCATCGGACACTGACTGTAGCACATTGAGTGAAACTAGTCTCCATACAAAATTGTGTAAAAATTCTGTTCATTGGAATTTATCTGTCCACCAAAACTCTAAATTTTAGGGCATTCCTGCATAAGAAATATGAAAACATTAAGAATATGTTTAAAAGTTCTGTTTTTGTGTATATTGCAATCCCTTTTCTCATCAGTGTGTGAGAGGGGAGGTAATTCTCTGCAGCCACGTATTTCTTGGCATAGGGTTAGGTTAAATGGGGACGAACACATAGGACAGCCTTATGACTTACAGCCTCACCAAAATGATTGACAATTAGGAGGACCACTTATTTTGATGATCCACCAGGAAAAATAATATCCTCCACTATACCTTTAACTATACCATAATCTTTAACAAACCATCTAATAATCCAGTTGTGTTAAGGAAAGGCGAATTTTTATAGCACAATTCAGTAGAAAGACAATGCAAAGTCCTTTACATTATTAAAATATAGGAAAGTAAAACAATCAAAGCAAGAAGGAAAAAATAAAATAAAAATGCAGAAAAAAACATTAAAAACAGTTGGACTAAAGAAAATAAAAAAGTTGACCTAATGATGTTTTAGATGAACTGTTTGACTAGAACAGTCGAAGGCAATCCTAAACAAATGTGTTTTTAGTCTTGATTTAAAGTAACCCAGGCTTTCCGCACTTTTACAGTTTTCTGGAAGTTTATTCCAGATAAGTGGAGCATAGGAACTAAATGCTGCTTCTCCATGTTTAGTTCTGGTTCTAGGTATGCAGAGCAGGCTGGAGCCAGAAGACCTGAGTGGTCTGGAGGGTTGATACACTGATAGCAAGTCTGTGATGTATTTAGGTGCCAAGCCATTCAGGGATTTATAGACTCACAGAAATATTTTAAAGTCTATTCTCTGAGATACAGGGAGCCAGTGTACGGACTTTAGAACTGGGCTGATGTGCTCTACTTTCTTAGTCTTAGTGAGGACACGGGCAGCAGCGTTCTGGATCAGCTGCAGCTGCCTGATCCACTTTTTGGCAGACCTGTGAAAACACTGTTTCAGTAATCAATTTGACTAAAAATAAACCCATGGATTAGTTTTTCCAGATCATGCTGAGACATTAGTCCTTTAATCCTGGAAATGTTCTTCAGGTGATACAAAGCTGATCTTGTAATTGCCTTTAAATGCTTTTGGAGGTTCAAGTCTGAATCCAGCACTACACCTAGATTTTGGGCCTGTTAGCAAAGCATTATGCTTCAAATCTTGCTCTTCATATTTAGGATTATAGCAGATTTTGCTGATGAAGATACTCAGTCTTCCAGGTCAAAGTAATTCCAAAGACATTTGAATTGAGAAAGTTTCCTGGAGGGGAAGCGAAACGTCTTCAAACCTCGGAAACCAAGTCTAGTGGATTGTTTTTTTAAACTTTTACGGAAAAAGTATAGCAGATTATCTTTCAGTATTTAGTTTGTGAAACAAGTTTGTTTATATGAAAATTAAAACTTCTCTTATAATTTAGGTTATTAGGAAATTATGTCCAAAGTCACTGTTTTAATAATCGCTGTCAGTGACTGATTGTGCACCGGAGACATGAATATTATGAGCCAACCACTCTGTACAATATTTGCAGAGATTATTTCTGCATCCATGAGTTGGTTATCAAAATGTTTATTCATAAGCCAATGATGAAAATATGCATTTTGATTAGTAGCGCCAAACTCTTCTAGGTAAAACTGGGCTTCATATTTTTGATTTTTCTTAGGTCATAGGTTGTTGGTTGTCAGTGCAGATGCTTTTGTGACTATTGATAACTGCACCTGTTTACTCAAGAAGTCAAGCTGTTGTTCTGAATCTCGTTTTGTCTTTTGTTTTTGTTTAGATTTCATTTCTTTTATTTTTCCATAGTAAAAGTGCACAGTAACTCGTTTTTGAACATTTGAATAAATCCATAAACAAAGTTTTTCATTTGGAACAATAGAAATGAATGACTCAATCCTGTTTCGCTTCACAGGCATCGAACAAAGTCAGCAGTGGGATTCTGTCTGCAGATCTCCCTGCACAGCTTGGGTCCCAAGCCGACACACAAAGGGCTGTGGACAGGGTTCTAGAAATAGCTCGAGTGCTTTATTATCTGGATCAGGTGAGCTTTACAATTCTATTAAAGAAAATTATTAGAACTCAGAGTAGAGCGTCTTCCTTTGCCTCCCTGGCCTCTGTAAACACGTTAACATTAGTGCATCCACTCTTCTCAACCATTTAACTGCACACAGACAATTGTATTTGTTCAGTGAAGTGGAGTGAGGTGAGATGAAGGTAGCAAAAAATGTTGTGGCATGCTGTTGTGGCTGTCTACTTCATCTATCACTCCAATAAGATGATTATCTTTTGCAGGCATTTGTAGCAATGTTTTCTAATTTTTGACAACACTCCATCCATAAAATTTCATTTTGATTGGGGTTTTATTTAGTTTTACTGATGTTAAGCCAATAAATATTCTAACTTCAGGCTGAACATTTCTTATCTGTTCAAAAAAAGGTTTTCCAAGTTCCAGCAAAACCTAATCTTTTCTTGAAAAAACACTTGGCTTATTAACAGTCTTTGTAGTTGTCTTTATAAGAATTAATACATTTTGTCATCTTATAATAACTCAGAAGTGCGATTTAGAAATTTAGATGCCTCTCCCTACATCTTCTAGGTAGAGCATCCGCAGAGAAGCAAGAAGCCTTCTTGGCATAAAGTTTTATCCAAACAAAGAAAACGTGCAGTTGTTGCTTGCCTAAGAATGACTCCACTCTACAACCTACCACTGTAAGTCAAAATAAAGATATTGGTCCTTCAGGTTTTACCTATAAAAGTACATAGAAAAAACAACTTCTTATAGAATGTTTTTTTTTTTTTTCTATCTATCAACTTTTCACCTCCTTTCCTTCAGGCACAGAGCTGCCAACCTTTTCCTTCAAGGCTACAATAAATCTTGGATATCAACTGAGGGACGTGGCTTTGAGGAAATGCTTGTGGAGGATTTAGCTGTAAGTTTTAAAGGGAAGCTAACATCCTTTACTCTTCAGATTGTATTTCTACTTTCTGTTTTTGCCATTATTGATAACTATAAAAGTTATTCCAACAAAAAAAGATAATATAAAAAAAATCCAATGGACTTTGTTTCCAAGTTTGAAGACGTTTCACTTACCATCCAGGAAGCTTTTTTCAATTCAAAATGAAAAAGATTCAAAACGAAAAAGATTTTAAACATTGACCTGGATGAATGAGATTCTTCACCAGCATATAATTGTTATGATAAAACATGTTTAAATTTTTCTCATTCTGGACTTATCTGATTAGCTGCAGAAGTCAGAGCTTAAAGAACACAAATGTTGCTCAAATAATAAATACATAATTGGTAAGTTACTTTAAAATATCTATAGATACATCATATACACCAAAGCTTTAACTTCCTGGCTAATTATGGGAAAGGTTTCTAACAAGCTTCTTCTTTCTGTCAAATGTACTGATCGACATTGTGGAAAACACTCCAAAAATTAGGATCATTGAGCTTCAGTGTATTTGCAAACTATAATCTCACTTTTTATTTTGATGATAATGGAATAATGGTTTCTCTGTTTCTACATAAATTTTCAACCCTTGCCAGTCAATCTGGATGATAGCTAGACTAATTCTCATCAGCTTAAGGCAGCATTGTCAAAAGGTCTTCTCCTTTTGTTCTTTGCTTGGTACCCCTGTTTCATACCCAAAAACATTCTTCGAAAAAAAAACACAACATGCATCCTTTTAAAATAATATAAAGGTTGAACATTCTCTTGGTGGTTATACATGCTAGCTGTTTAAATAGATGAAAATGGCAATTTTATCCAGGTATGATAATATATGTAAACTTCTAACTTCAAAAGAGAAAAAAAAAAAAAAAAACACTGAAATATTGTGCCTTTCAATAGTCTAGAGAAGTTTGTAATCATACTAAGTGACAAAAACTTACTTCCTAGGTCCAAGAAAAGCCTAACCCTGCTCTGAAATCTTATTTGCACAGTGTTAACATCTGTCTTTAAAACCAGCGGCTTTTTTGTTGTTATCTTTAACATGAATATGTCATGATTTAATTAAAGGTCTGACCCAAAATGCAGAACACCAAACAGAGAGACCAGGGAAAAGTTTAACAGGTTTAAGAATATAGAGATGAGTCCAGTGCTGCTCTGAACTAGCCTCGTGAGACCATCCTGATCTTGCGAGCTTTCATTGTTTCACTCGCAGATCAGTCTTGAGACTCTCCGTTAAAGAAAATTTGAAGCCGTTCACCAAACGAACGTCCAATCAGCGTTGGCTTTGAGGTGGGTTGAGGTGTGACACAACGAGAAGCAGTTCAGTCTAAAGAACATGGTGGCTTGTGAGGCAATGAGCTGCAGGTGTGCAGGGAGACCCAATGAGCACGGGGCACCACCTGGTGGAGGAGGAAAGGAAACACAAAAACAGACCACACAAACTGGATTCCTGACAGAATATATATAATATTTACCTGAATCTGCTTTTTGTATGTTGTAAGTGAAGAGACTTTTTCTTTCCTTTCAGAAAAAGTATTTGGTCACATCTGCTGCATGGCTAACTATTAAGAATTCTCTCATAATTGCAACTTTCCCATTTCTCCACTGTGCTACAGCTATTCTATTCTCTTGTATTCTACAGTATTCAATTTAACCAGGAGCAGTTTAGATTTAATTTTTATTTGTTTTATTTCAGACCGTTGGGGAAAAAAAATTATGTTTTGACTTCTTAAATGTTGTGTTTAAATGTAGTGTTTTAAAGGAAAAGTCAGGTCATTAAGGAATAACCAATGGGTCATTATTTATACCTGAAACTAATACGTTCACAGAGATTTAATGAATGATCTCGGAGTCCGGGAACAGCCAATTTTGCCCAAATATAGTAACACCTCACTCTTGATATCTTCTGTCAGTGACATCATGGTGCGGTAAGCCTAGCGCCATTCTCCCCACTTTACAAGCAAAATCAATGGGAACTACTAGACACCCCTACAATCAACAACAATTATTTAACATTTCGAGAGGACTTCACCATTGAAATTTGTGAAACCTATAGGTAAACTGACACTGCCCATGTGCATGGCAGTTGGATGTTGTAATACATCGGGTAAAAGTTTAAAAAAAAGTAGCTATTTCAGCTTTCAGGTTTATGATCCACCTCAGGATCGTCGTTGGATTGCCAACTTGAAGAGGGAGGATTTGCCATCAAACTTCTGGCCAGAAAAAAAAAAACAGAGCATTAATCCGTTACTCTCTGCTTCGCATAGTGCACTGGTCGTCATAATCATGGATAATAGCGAATTGTGACAAACACCAGATACAGCCCTGGGACATGCTCAACAGCCGATACCGCACCGTGACGTCACAAACCAGTAGATGGCAGCAATGTTCTTTGACGAACATGGATGTCTCCATTAGAGCACATTCAAATTAAATTATTCTTAATTAAAAATTTATAATTTATTGTTCTAGGAATTTTACTCTTTTATTTTATTTTATCCCCTTGTGTCGTCTGTTAGTTTAGCTCGAGCTATCTTTCACTGCTGCCAAGCAAGCCTTCATAGGACTATTTCTCAGGTTGATTAACATTGCACTTTGCTTTGAATATTGAAGCCATATGCTCTGCAGAGAGTGCAGAGAGCATGCCACTTCACATTGACAAACAATAAAGGTAAGTCTGCATCAAGAATTTTAATTTGCCTTTACTGTTCATAAGGAAGGGACCTGCTGAGTTTACTTTGTTGTTAGCTGCAATAAGCTGTGTAGTATAATTTAAGAACACATACTAGTTGTCTCGCTCTCTCTCCTTGGATTGCAGAAGGGGCAAGTGATAAACCATTGGAAAGGTGACAAAGAGGAGGTAAAGGAGGTGGTAGAAAGAGCCCAGGCGATCGATCCCCTCTTGCAACTCATTATGTTCTTCAGTCGAAGTGCACTGACAGAAAGCAGGTGTGTGTTGATTATAAAAGATCACATGCTGCTTTTGTTACTGCTCAAATGCATCTTGAATACTAGTGAATACTACACTGGTCTGAAGTGGAATTAGTGCTTCATGGTTTTAATCTCCTGTAGTTCTGCACATGCTTTTTGAATTCCCTCAAACATAATATTTTCTTAACCCTTAACCTTTTAACATGTTTCTGATTTAGCAGGGACATTTCTCTGCAAATGTAAAATGAAAAAAAAAGTATAATTTAAAATAAACAAATTTTTCCACTTTCTGATAATATAATATAGTGATATATATTTCTGGTAATATTTTTCTTTTTGTTTTCCCTGTTTTCAGTAAGCTTGATAATGACAACCTCTACAAATGTTATGCTGGTATTATGGCAAAGGTAAGAGTCAAAAATGTTGTTTTCACAATTAGCAAACGTTTGATTTTTACAAGTTGTAAATGCAATTGAACTAGTGAAATCACTTAATTTTTGAAAATCTGCAAAAAATCTTTTAGCGAAAAAAATTTGACCTTAAATCCTTAGCAAATACAGTTGTACTGGAATGTTTATGTAACATCCCATTTAAAAAAAAGTATAAATTCACACTAGTGATTCAAATAACATGGAACTGAAAAATAATGATAAACACTAATTTACTTAATATTAACTTCTTAAAATGAAATAGATTTTGACTTATTATTAAAGAAAATAAATATAAAAATAAAAACTATCCAAGACAAATTAAAGAACCTTCCTTATGAATAGTGAAGCAACATACATGTTAACAGGTGCAGAAGTTTGACTGAACATTTTCTCAAGCTCTATTAGGCTTGGTTTGTTAACCCTTTATTTTTCAATGTCCACATATCATGATTTTTTATTTCTTCGTTTTTTATTTGCATTTATTTGACTTGCAGCAGATTTTTTTCTGTCTTTAATAGAAGGGTATTTCAAACACAATTGTAATGGTGTTACAGGAAGCATAATAGAAATAAATCAGATATGCATGAATTTGGCTGAAGGGTAGTTTCACTACTGCAATTAGTGCTCTAAATTGCCTATTACAAATCATGTTGTAGTGTTTCTTTTAATGCATTTAGACTTGAGGAGCCTCTAAGCACATACACAGATACACTAAATTTTTGCATCATGTCTTGAAGTTATTCTTTAAAATCTGTGTGCATGACCCATGAAGTATGAACCTAAAGTACCTGTCAGTAAAGAGCTTCAGCACATTTGTAAATCATTTATTGTTGATGCATTACTTTTTGGATCTGGTTTTACATCATCTGTTCACTTCTGTTTTTTTTTTTTTTTGTTTTTTTTTTTCCCAGAGCTGTTGCAGAGAGAGCAAAGATGATGATGAGCAGGAAGTAGAAAGCTTTGAAGTGAGCAAATTAATCCTTAGATTTTTAAACTCTTTTCCCTGAGTTATTAAGCTTTTTTGTCTTGTTTTAAAAAACTATAAAATATCGCAGTATCTCTATATTTCAAAATTAAGCCGAAGTTGTGTATTCAAAATTAAAGGAGAAGGAAATGGAGAAACAGAAGCTGTTGTACCAACAGGCCAGGCTGCATTGTCGTGGAGCCTCAGAGATGGTTCTGCAAACTATTAGTGCCAGCAGCGGTAGGAAATATTAAATAGAAAATATCACCTATAAATAATTTTTAGATAAACTCCTGCTTTGGATTTGACAAAGTGAAAAATGAGAATACTTAAAATTGACAGAAATATTCTGATTTTGTATCACTTTAGGCACTATGGGATACATGATTGGTCCTACTCTTGAACTAGGTATTGCTCTTCTCAATGGGGGGAATGCAACTGTTCAGCAGGTAAGTGAAATCCTTTTCTATAAAACACAAAGACAAAAACACAATTATTTTTTTTGTTATTCATTCTTATATCGTGTCAGGTGCTTTTATTTTTTCAACTAAAAATGGTTTAGAGACAATAGTGGCACTTTTATATAACTTATATGTTAATTAGATAACTAAAAACATTCATAAATTTAGGATACCAAATCACATTACGCTAGGGTTGCTAAACATGTTAGTATAAGATACTAAAATCATCTCAACCTCAGCTGGAGAGTTTCATAGGAATTTGTTAAGTTAATTTCCCATTATGACTTCTCACTGGTCTGATTGTCCCACAAAGAATATTGGTACCATTACAATGCTGACCGCGAGGAGTGTGATGAACAGTCAAGCTAAAATATAAAACAGTGTGTATGTGTATCAGTGTGTATGTGATGAATTTGGGTAATTTGGGAGGTGAAATGCAATTAAAAGCTATTTAATAGAATTTGAGTATGGATGAGTCAGTTTTCCACACAGCAACAACCACAATCTAGGCCGGCAGTAAAGCAGCTGAAAAAACATTCTGGTGTCTATGTATAACTTAGGGATGTTTTTTAGAGATATTTTATCTAATTGTCCTTTGTTTTTATTGAAAATTTTTATTGCTCTTCAAATGTTATAAATACATTTACAGCATGGGTTGTGTTGCATCTTGTTTCATGTACCAAATCCACATAACTCTAAAATTAGACTTAAACAATGACTGAACAGGAGATTACAGTACGGTACATATAAATTTACAAAAATTAAAAAACAAGCTCAAAATTACATATCAGAACTAAAGTGACAGAACAGAGTTGTAGGCATTCATTTGACAAAGCATGAAAAAGCTTTTTTCTGCAGGGTTATCTTTTAGAGAGTTTAACCAATCGCAAAGTATTGCTTTTAATCCATATTTAACAGTTTTGTTTTCCAGTTAAACAAAATAACAACAGAGCAAATAAGGAACCATTTCCTGTCTTACTTTACGTTCGTAGCTTATTTAAAATAAAAGCTTACTTTTAATATATCTGATAAAGTATTCTTCAAGACTTAAATCTTTAAACCCCAACTTACCCCTAATGGAAACATATTATCAGACTAATCACTTCTGCTTTATTAGATCTTATCTATGTTTATTGTGCTTTACAGAAAATGCTGGATTATCTAAGAGAGAAGCGCAATGTTGGCTTTTTCCAGAGCATGGCTGGACTCATGCAGTCATGTAGGTAAGTTACTGAAGAAAAGGTGCTAAAATCAGAAAAACAGGCTGGCTGATTAACAGTTTGATGAAAAGTACAGTAGGTACATTTTTAAAGGCTTTGCTAACTCCTCTTCTGTGAATTTCTGCTACTCAGTGTCCTGGATCTGAACGCATTTGAGAGGCAGAACAAAGCAGAGGGATTAGGCATGGCTACGGATGAGAGCTCAGGTACTGTAGTTAAATGGAAATAAAAAAATCCATTACTGTTAATCCATGTTATGGTAGAGGAACTCGCTGCACGATCGCTGTTTCAGAGCACAATTTTAAAGTATTTCTTCATCTTCTGTTTCATCAACATCTTTTTTTTTTTTTTTTATAAGGCTTTGGTTAAATTTTTTTTTTTCAATTTTACTCATAAATTTTACTTGAAACTGTTCATTGATTTTTTAAATAGCTGTTATCTTTTTGGTTTAAGGAGAAAAGGTGATGCCTGACAAAGACCTGGCTTGTGACCTATTCCGTTTTCTGCAGCTGCTCTGCGAAGGACATAATTCAGGTTATTACAACTTCCTTCTTGTCCATTAAGAAATGATCAAATATCATATATGTTTGTCAGTAATTCACATTAAAAAAAACATAAATGGTGGCAAAAGTAATATTTTTTCTGATATCATTCTTCAAATTTTGATACCATTTTTTTTTTCTTTTGTCCACATTTTAGATTTCCAGAACTATTTGAGAACACAAACTGGGAACAACACCACTGTCAACATTGTTATATCAACTGTTGACTATTTACTACGGGTACAGGTGGGTTTACTACGGTAACTACTTAGGAAAATGTCAAACTAAATGGAATATTTAGAAAACAATACGATAATTTCTTAAAAGTTTTAGCAGTCAGACTCATTGAATGCAGATGTTCAAACCATGTAAATAATTCTCTGTAGCTCAGTGAGCTTAATCAAGGTACCGTATTAGGCTGCCACCTGTGCAGTATGTTCAGTCATGAAATTTATCGGTTGTTAAATATTATACTCTCATCTGTTAGTGATCGATCCATCCATCTTCTCCCGCTTATTTTATTGGGGCTTGTGCCTATCTCTATCAGTCTATGGGTGAGAGGTGGGGTACACCCAGGACAGGTCGCAGGTTGCATGGCAACAAAGAGACAAACAGAGACATACAGCCATGCATACAAAAAACTCACCCAAGGATAATTTAGAGACACCCAACAGTCATATTTTTGGACTGTGGGAAGAAGCCGGAGTACCCTGAGAGAACCCATGCATGCAGGGGGAAAATATGCAAACTCCATGAAAAAAAGACGCAGAGCCGGGAATTATACTCAGAACCTTGTTGCTGCAAGGCAACAGCCCACTGTTAGCGATATTATAGCATACTGAAAATAATTGTTCATGAAAGCAGCCAAGCAATTAAGTGGTAGACCCAGTTTAATGACCGAACGGAGTCAGTTAATAACAAGGTGCATAGTGCACATCAACAACTTTTGCAAAGTCAATAGCTATAGATCTCCAAACATAATGTAGCCTCTGGATTATCTAAAGATCAGTTTGCACATCAATAGCCTAATGAAATGTATATACATGCATGAGCTGCTAAACAGGAGCTTTAACTCATCAGGTGCAATACAAGTTTACAGTGAATGAAAGTGGGGATGTGTTCTCTAAAATGACAAATCCTTCCTCTCTTTCTGACAACCCAATGGATGCGTGTGATGGTTACTTTCCTGACTATGTTGTGTTGAGCGTAAGACTTAGTGAAAGGGTGTTATTATGTTGGCCTTATTTCATGAGTTAGGTCTGGTCTTCAGTTAAAGCAGATATTAAAGCTTTCTCATTACGAGATATCTTAGACAATTCAATGGTCCCATCTTTGTGGGGACTGGTTTTGATGGTTCTTTGTTCTATCTGTTCCTTCCTTACAGTGCAACTCTGTACAAAGCAAGGTCCTAAGAGTTTATTGGTAAAGAACTTGACCCAAAACATTATTTTTATATAATCAGAGCAGTGACTGGGAACTTGGTAATGTCAGCACACATATTGGTCATTAACCTGACGTCCACGCCTCAGAAAGAATGGTCAATAATTGTATAAACATTTTCCTAAACGGTATAAAAAACTTCAGACAAGAGTTATAGTTGTAAAGGTTGGTCCTACATCATACTAAACCTCATCACTTTAGAACAGAATGTTGCTAAAGGTTTATGCGGTTGTGGATCTATATGAGCAAATGTTGATCTAAACATTCCTACAAATAAAACTAAAAATGATGTGTGCTACACCACAGGAATCGATTAGTGATTTCTACTGGTACTACTCTGGGAAGGACGTTATTGATCCTCTGGGTCAACACAACTTCTCCAAGGCCATTGAAGTCACCAGACAGGTCTTCAACACACTCACCGAGTACATACAGGTCAGTCCATTTGTGTTTGTAATAAATTATTTTACCAGAATACAATTTAGGTTATTTCTTAGTTACCTTTAATAAAGTCTACGTAAATACTAAACCTAGATACTGTTGTTATTAGAACACTTTTAAAAGATTGAATCCTATCACTTTGCAATATCATGAGCAGCTTTCAAGAGGTTTATATCATTTTGTTTTTAGCAGTGTCTCTTTACTTTGGATAGATCTTGATTTTTTAGATTTGTAAATAATTTTTGTAGCAAATTTTGATATGAAGTGCTTGATAAATGTAGGTTGTAAATGCAAATACATTTAAACAGTCAAATATATTTGAGAAATCGAGATTTAAGCATTAGTATTTCAGATTTTAGTAATTTAAAGTTCTTTCTACTTTCTGCAATGTTTGCACTGACTGTATGTATTTGTTGTTCATCTAGGGTCCATGTAGTGGGAATCAGCAGAGTCTTGCTCATAGTCGTCTTTGGGATGCTGTCGTTGGATTCCTCCATGTTATTGCTCACATGCAGATGAAGCTGTCTCAGGTATAGCACACACACTAGATACCATTCTACAGTCTTTAAAAAGATTACAAAGCTGTTGCATTATTTTAGCTTAATAGAGTCTTGTTTGCTGACAGTATTTTTAAACTAAACCCTTTATCGAATAGTGTTTAAACTTCTTTTTGTCTCAAGGTAAACTTTGTGTTGTTATTTTTTCTTGTTTTGTCATAACTGTTGTTTCTTTTTTCAGGATTCAAGGCAAATAAAACTTCTTAAAGAGCTCATGGACTTATTGAAGGACATGGTTGTGTTTCTGCTTTCCATGTTAGAAGGTAAATTATTTGCAAGGCAAATGGGTTATTTATAAAGAACTGATATAAAACGTATACTTTATTTTCAATCATTGCACTCAGCTACAGCTCCAACTTTACAATGAAACCAAATGCAATGTATGTTCTCACAATGTTATGACCAATGCTCCGATGCAATCTAACTCTTCACACTGTATGTTCAAAAACCACACGTGGGACTCAGCGCCGAGTGATGGTGCTGGTCAGACTCATCAATCTTGGACATGCTTGCTGTGTCATCAATGTGGCTTGTGGCAAACAGCAAGCATAATTCTTTATGGCTTTCTTCTGTTCACTCTTCTATAGAGGCCAGATTTGTGGACTGCATGACTAATAGCTGTCATATTGACATACTCTCCCACTTGATTTATGGACCTCTGTAGTTGCTTTTGAAGTCACCAGGGTCTTCTTAGTTCGTTAATTAAAGCTGACATTGGCTGACCTGTTCATTAAGATGGACAGTCATGTCTTGGCACATTTTGAGGTTTTAGCATTCTTTTCTTTATCAAATTTCATTTTTGTGTACCCTCTGTGTATACTAATAATTATTTAATGCATGTTTCAGATCCAAATTACTTTATTTTTTCTTATTTCCATAAAAAAAGAAATCAAATGAATATTATGCTGTATGTATTAAACTTAAACTATAATCTGATCATTTATTACCATTTTCTTTGTTGCAGGCAATGTTATCAATGGGACAATTGGAAAGCAGATGGTGGATATGTTGGTGGAGTCGTCATGCAATGTGGAAATGATCCTCAAGTTTTTTGACATGTTCCTCAAACTAAAAGACCTGACCTCTTCAGAGGGCTTCAGAGAGTTTGACCCTGATTGTAAGGGCAACATAACCAGAAAGGACTTTCAGAAATCCATAGAAAACTGCAAGCGCTTCTCCCAAGCTGAAATTCACTTCCTGCTTTCGTGCATTGAAATGAATGATAGTGAGATCTTGGAATATGAAGCATTTGTGGATCGATTTCATGAGCCAGCAAAAGACATTGGTTTCAGCATCACTGTTCTCCTTACAAATTTGTCGGAGCACATGCCGAAGGATTCCAGGCTGAAGACATTCATGGAACTGGCTGAATGTGTGCTGGCTTACTTTCAGCCCAGCCTTGGGCGCATTGAGATTCTTGGCAGCGGGAAGCGGTTTGAACGAGTCTACTTTGAGATCAGCGAATATAGTCGCACACAGTGGGAGAAGCCACAGGTTAAGGAGTCCAAGAGGCAGTTCATTTTTGATGTGGTCAATAAGGGAGGAGAGAAGGAGAAAATGGAGATGTTTGTAAACTTCTGTGAGGATACCATTTTTGAGATGCAGCTTGCAGCCCAGATATCCGGATCAAACACAAGGGATAAGTTTACTGTGAAAAAAGAGAATGAAAAAAGTGAGCTCGATGAGGATGAAAGCCCAAATGACAAGGGGCGGACTTGTATCTCCTATTTGTGGCTGATGCTAACCTTTGTCCTGTCTTGGAAAAACCTGAGAACACTGATGAAGATGACTCTGAGGGATTTCTTAATAGCAGCATTTCGAGTCTTTTCATACATTTGTATGGTTCATGTCCGCTGCATTTCTGTTGTCATCTGTCACATCATGTATTTGCTATACATCACATTTGTCAACAGTGGTCTTATAGAGGCAGCAAAAAGAATGAAGGTGTCGGACTTATTTGGTGGTATCCTTGAACCAACTCTCGACGAGGTCATGGAGATGCCAAAGAGTATGGATCCAATTAGAAAGTACTCTGCTAGTTTCTCATCCCAGAAAGAATTAAGGGAGATTGGGCAGATGGCTTCAGTGACCTTTCCCAGAGAGGTGGACATACTTTCAGACATATTCGGTCTCAAACTGAAAAAAGAAGGAGGTCAATACAGAATTATAACGCAAGATCTCTCTGATAGTCTGGCTGATCTGTTCAATGCAACAATGGTTGATAAAGAAATTTCTGAGCAGCCCCAGACTTCGGTAGGTGTTTTTTTCTATTTATGTCTTTGGTTTAAAAGGTTATATCAGGTTTTTTTGTTTGTTTGTGTTTTTTATGTATTTTTAGCCTAATCATTCTGGTGCTTTGAGATTTTGAAAATTAAGGTTTTATTGTAGTTAATGGACCACTCGGGCAATGAAAAAAAAGAAGATGAGAAAATGGAGGAGTTACACGATCAAGAGTGAGTATCAATTCTCTTGCCTTAAAGGATGCAGTACCTTTTCAAAAATAGTTGTATGTTATGTATTTTTCAAATATCATGTCATAAAATATTATATTATGAATTATTTAATAGACTCTCTTAAGCTGGCAGCAGTCACAAGATTAAATTGTACAGAGGTTTAAAATATGGCTAGATTTTTGTATGTTATACACATTGTTATCCAACAATATGAGCAAAAACTAAGTATACATAAAGTATATAACAGTCTATTTACTGTTAAAAAGAGTGCAGCACAATGCAGGGCTTCAATGAAATCGCAGTTTGAAAGACTGGGTAAGGCCAGCATTTAGTTCAGTTGGGAGAATCAGTTGAGTTGACACAACAAGTATTATTCTTGCAACACAACAAAAAAACAAAAGAAAAAAGACCTTTATGGATAAGAGGCTGGGAGAAAACCACTGTTAAAGGAGAGTCATGAAAGGTTACATTTAGACTTTTCTAAGCCATGCAGGAATTTATTTCCTATTTTGGTGTCTTATGTGAGAATGGGACCCCCCCCCCCCTTCCTATTTGTCCAAAATATTTATTAATGTTAAGTGTTTAATTATGCTATTAAATTATTTGAAAACTTGAATAAGTATTAATATTTACTTTCTGAAAATTATAATCTGTTTTAAAGATACCCATTGTTTTCTGTCGCTATAGAGGTTTAAAGATTTTAAAGGTAAACTGTTTTAATTGGCACAGTAGAACTGGATTTTTAATAAACATGCAAAAACATCAGGGCTGTACATAGTTGCTGTTTATTCCATTGTATGTTTTTACCTTTTTAGTGCACTGATTCACAACCAACGCATGCTGTGCTCTAAGAGCAAGGACATGCATAGAGATGATAAAGGAAACATGGAGGAAAGTGTTGTGGTTAAATAAACTAAGATTAAATCAATAATATGCAAAACGCTTTCTGGAGTCAAACACTGAGCATCATCCTAAGCACAAGATCACTACCAGTGAAACTATGCTGTAGGAATGCATTTCTTTAGCAGAGAAAAAAACTTCTTCAAGGTTAATGGTGCTAGATGAGACTAAACATCTGACAATCCTGCTTACATACCTGTTTATGTACTAGCATACCCCAATCAAACTCTAGACTGGAACCCTATCAGGAATCAGTGGCAGAACCTTTCAATTGCTATTTACAGGTCTACACCATTCAGTCTTTCTGAGCTAAAGCTAAAAGTTTAAGACAAATGGGGAGAAATGTGTTTCCCTAAATGTGAATTTGGCAGAGATTTACCTAAAGATCATTGACACTGATTAATGTATAGTTCACAATAACACACAGTAAAATTTACAGTTGTAATGTGACATATTTTTGTAACAGTGTAATGATTGTAAGTGAACTGCTGTAAGTATTCAGTGCTCAAACAGGTTAATATTAGTTTTATATGAGCTTGAAAAATTATAAGATCATGCATAGAACATTGATTTGTCTGAACACACTCTATCTTATGAAAAAAAAAAGAAAATATGAGATTAAAAAGGTTTTCTTCTTATTTTTTAATTTCTTTTATGGAAATAAAGTACATAAAAAAATCTTGGACATGTCTTGTTTTTATGTTTGGAATGTTTTCAGAGGGAAGAAATCTGAAAAGGAAAGTTGGAATGTAAAAAAAGAGAAGAAACACAGTGCCAAAGGATGCTCTAATAGGTTGAAGGAAGCACAGGGCCAGCATTCTGCTCTCTGGGAGATGATAAGCGCAAATAACAAGAGTCTTCTGGTAATGTACAAGTACAGCAACACATGCTTACAAAGATAACTATGCACAGTCAACATCTAGCTCAGCAATAGCAAACATTTTTTTGAGCTTGACTATATCTGTTTTCTTCTTCCTTTTCTCCCTAGAATTACTTTGCAAGAAATTTTTATAACATGCGTTTGTTGGCATTATTTGTTACTTTTTCAATCAACTTCATCCTTCTTTTCTACAAGGTGAGAGCAACCTTATGAGCCTACTTTTTCTCAGACTTGCAGCTGTGTAGGATTGTGAATGTGGAAAAGGTTGCCTCAATTAAATCGTTTTATACTCATGTTATTTTTATCAATTCCCTGTTGTCAACTATGCCACCAAAGATGCCAAGCAAAACCATTTCCTTTTTTTACTGGTTTCCAGGTAGTATCTTTGCCTGCACCCAAAGAAGAAAAAGCGGTTACATCTGTGAACGGAAAAGAACTGGACTCCACTATGAAAAATACAAGCAATAGCAATGTTCATTTTGTGCTCGAAGAAAGCAGTGGTTACATGGAACTGTGCCTTCATTTCCTTTCTATTGCACACACAATCATCTCATTCTGCTGCATTATCGGTTACTACTGCCTCAAGGTATGCCTCTTCAATAATGTTTTTCTGCTCCTGTTGATTGAATTGTAGTTTTTAGAGGCAATTTCACTTTAATTTACATAAGTAGAATTTTTTAAAACTAGACTTCTTCAAGATTCAAGCTTTCTGATGTTGATGGAAAAGTAGTATAGTTTGCTATCAGTGCACAAATATAACTAATCAGGCTTAAGTGTATTTTACTGTTATCTGCTTCTGACTATTTCGTTTTAAAACCAATGACGGTAATGTTGGCTTAGTTAAAATAAAATGAAAGCCTTGCAAAGCACTGTATTGCAAAAATACACTTTTTCACACAGTTTCACTTTAATGCCATCCTCCTTTTAAAGCAAAGGCTTAAATAGGATGTGCTATTCATGAGGTCAGATGCTCATTTAGAATGAAAGCTCTGGTTCACATTCTCATTTGTAATTCATCACAAAGTCTAAGTTACAAGCTTGAACTTATGACTGTGCAGAAAAAGCTTGTCAAACTAAATTTTTACATTAATATCCTTATGAACCCTGCTAAGTGCATTAGTAATCTAATTTAAAACTATTTAAATGTCTAAAGAATTATGAATTCCTTTCACTTGAACAAATGACATTCTTAAAATGTCCCCATACTATAATTCCTTCTCCATCAAAATGTGTGCTTTGCACAATGCAATCAGGCAAGTGGGGTTTTCATGGTGTTTTCCAAACCCAGAGTCATCTATTAGATTGCTAGAACACAAAGCATGATTTGTTTTTACTGTGCGGTGGCATCTTACTTTACAGAACACCATCTGATGCTTTGAACTGTGATTGATGATGGAAGGCTTGAAGCCATAGGGATGTTTGTGCAGTGATCTCAAGTTGGGATCAATTTGAAAGTCACATGATTTCAATTAATTCTACACAAAGTTTCAACCTGTGGGCCCTTGTGTATACAGATATTGCTTTATGTTTTTCCTATGCCTTTAACAAAGTGACTGAGTTTGCTTTTGCTCTCAGTTCGTATGACTTTGTATTCATGCTTCTTAGGGTTTATATAGAATCAGTGCATCAAACAGTAAATTTGATATACTGATTAACTTTATTTTTATTTGGAAGAATATTTCATGACTGGACATGCAGCTGTCCTGCTTTCTCTGTTTTTAACAAGCTTTTTCAGCTGATGCCTAGGGGTGGATTTTATACACAGGTGGCCATGGAAGTGATTGAAACACCTGAGTTCAATGTTTTACATAAGTAGCTTAATATTCTTCTCACCATATTGTAGACATGATAGAGAAACCATTTTGGATTTGCAACCTGTAAATAAGCTACCAGAAAATACTAGGGGGAAAATTCCTCTCAGTGCTTTGCTATAGTGAAATTGTATTTGTAGAGCAGATCAAAATTTTTTTTAATCTTAGAATATAAAAAGAGGTTGGCCGCATTGGATTGAGGGCAAAAACTCATTACTTGGTGTCATATAATGGTCTAAGGGTTTTATTCACTTAACTTTAAAATACATTTTCTTTTCTGTTACTGTTGATTATCCTGTTTTTGCAGTATGTAACATAAATCACCATGGTAGATTTTTTTATTCATTTTAAAGTTAACGTATATTTTTTAGTCTTTCAATATTTGCAGGGAATAATTTCTAAATGATTTTGCATTTGATTGAAAGGTGCCGTTGCTGATCTTCAAACGAGAGAAAGAGGTGGCACGAAGGCTCGAGTTTGACGGACTATATGTGACACAGCAGCCTCCCGAAGAAGACATCAAAGGGCAATGGGACCGTCTGGTCATCAACACACTGTATTATCTTTATTAAGAACAGATTAATAAATTATATTAATTAGCAAAATTGTCTATATGGAAATAAAGACATATTTCACATTATTCGTAATTATGCAACATCTTTATGTTGTCTGTTAATCTACTTCTGTATCTTTTCAGATCGTTTCCGAGTAATTACTGGGATAAATTTGTGAAAAGAAAGGTAAAATCTTACAAATGGATTTGTTTGATACTGACAGTCAGATAGAACTTTTATTCCAAAAATGCTTACACACATGTAATTATATGCAGATTTCATGCAGTGACAGCACAGTAAGGAATCAACTGATCTGTGATAAAAGATTTAATGGCAGCTGTAATTATTCCACAGTCAAGTACATATAATTTTATCCTCTTCCAGACAGTTAAGCACACCTTCCATTTTAGATAACCATTTGTTTCATAGAGAATGATGAGCGATGGTTTTGAACTTTTCTGTAAAGGTATTTTCTTTCCTATTTTGTCTTGCAAACTGCCTTTAATGTTTTATATCAGTATTTTTTTAAATCCTCTGCAACTTAATATAGGGAGGCAGAAAGTAAAAACTGAACACCTTGAATTAATTAAGAAAGCAACATTTAGGAGCAAGCTGAATAATTCCAAGTGTTTTCTACTGTATGTAATACTAAAGTAGCAGCCCATTTTTCCGCCCATTACCACCAAGCCCAGGGTCGATTTCTACTTAAAGTTCTCTTTAAAAGGAGTGCCATTTAACTTTCAATAAAATAGCTGTGTGTGAAAGAAAAATAAACATGCCAAATTATTGTAGCTGCTGGATCATCTTTTTTTTCCCCCCAGCATTTTATTGTCCTTACACTTTCAACTTTTAATCTTAAAGCCTCATAAAACGATAGATCACAGATATAATAAGCCCTTATTGACAATACCTTAATTTTTGGAAAAAGATGTGTGAGGTCTGAATTCAAGCAATGTCTCAGAACAGCATTCAGAAAGGTAAAGGTTTTTCACAAACAAGTCTACCAACTGGAAAGGGATGAAAGGTCTGGGCCATCAAGCTGGCCTCAAAACGTATCCCCCTTACACCAGCTTTTTCCAGAAGGATGAGCCAAAGAAGAAAATGCATGTTAACTTCCAAATCCAGGAAAGTAAAAATTATTTATGTAAAATAATCTATCTTTACTATTATTCCAGTTACCGGTAAGCAAATCAAAGTTTTTCTAATCATCAAAAAAAGTTTTGTGTGATTTAATGTCAGTTAGAGGAAGGTTGTTTCTTACCAAATAATGTATATATTATTTTAATATTTATATAATATACATATATTGTGGAATATGGATTGCAAGCTATATACCTACTGGAAGCATTACCATTTTTTTTTCCTATGTTTGAAAGTTATGGCTATTCACATTTATTTCTCTACACGTTGAGTAGTTACTGTATTATCTCCAGTGGCGTGCACAGACTTTTTAAAGGGCAGGAACGGGGAAAGGGCACATAGAGCATGTCCTAACCACAGTAGACGGCATTTTAGCAGTTAAACATCAAAAATGAAAAAGAGATGATTGTTATAATCATAAAATTAAAATGAGACAGTAAATAGAACATTTAAGTATGTACCAGTCCATATACTTTCAACTACAGATTTGTTTTTAAAAAGGTACTTTAATATTGGAAGACTAAAAACATCAAAACAATGTCTGTGATTATGGATTAAGATTCTTTTCTAAAACAGTTTAGCATCCTCCAAAGAAAATCTTCCTGCTGTCAAGTCAAACAATTATTGCTTAGATGGATGTTTTGAAATTTCTTGCCTGTATAAAATTAGACAAAAGGAAGCTGACCGCTGAAGGACGCCAGAGGTCATTAAAAATGCTGGAGGCTGTAATCCTGTAAGGCGTAATCTGTCTTAACTAAAATACTTTTCAGTAAACAAACAGCCACATCACATGGGACTTGAGAGCATGAGTTGGCAAATGATAACCTCTAGAAGAAGTACTTTGACATTAATTTTCTATTAAGTTGTCATTAAAGCAATTTTCCATTTTGGTTCCAGCTTGAACACTTAATTCAAAGCAGATACTTATAATAATGGTAATTAATACTTCCCATATTGGAGAACATAACAGTAAGTTAGCTCCAAACTGTGGGGGGCTCTGTCTTTTAAGTACAACATACAGTGAGTCACAGTAGAATGTTCTTAAGGAAACATTTAATGCTTAACCTTAAAAGCTTGGGTGGATTTTCCTGTATTAGGGATTTATCAATCATATGTAAAATAGAGGAGGAAATCAGTGGAAATATTTCCTTAAATAACTTGGCTGGAACTGGATCTATGTACAAGTTTTAGATCCAGGGCAGTGGATTTACATTACCATTGTCAACTGCATGGGGAAGGGAACCAGCATTGTATCCAACATGGTGAGGGCTGTCACCTTTCCATTCTCACATTGTGCCACTAGATAGAACTGTGGTGTTGTTAAACAACGGCACGTATGGAAAGAGCAGGGCTACGTCACAACTCTGGTTGTGATGTAAGTTACTTATGCAGCCTAGACAAAGGAAAGAAAAATAAAATAATTTATTCCTAGAAGGACTGTTCATCATCCTCCCTTAACTGCCTCACAGACCCCAGTCACTGCCAACTCCCCAACACAGGTGCTTTCTGTGTAGGTAGATCTGCAAGGAAGTACGGCTGATTCGGACTGTCATCCAGATGTAGCTCTGGGGGCTTTTCCAATATATTGTCTCCCTTAAGCCGACTCAGACATTGTGCATAATATCAGTAGTCCGTAATGTTACGTTTCACCTATGTGTTTATTGTGAAGTGCCAATAGTAAGACCTTCAAATGAAATGCTATAGGGTTGTTAGGGGTAAATGCAGATCTAAATTGAAGAATCTGATAAGGAATTGGATATTGTGTAACAATCATTCCAGCCACCAAATAAGGTAAAAAATTCCCACTGTTGTATTCAGTGGCAGCAAAGGAATGCCATATGATGTTATGCAATAAATTGATATACTGAAACAGTAGCATCACAAACAAGTTTTACCTTCAGAAATCAAAAGCATTGTAAAAGGTATATCAATTTGATTCATTTTCCAGCTCAATGGGTGGAGAGTTGACATCTGGATGACAGAAAAACAGTCTTTAATATCTCTGAAACAAAAGTAGCTCACATCTTTTTTTTTAATAATTTATTTGTTTTTTTTTTTTCATTTTACAAATTACCAATTTAAATGCAAAAACTTGCACTAACGAAGTACCAACCGCTCTATTTGCTGAGTTTTCATAGGGGGGTATCAGTTTCAATGAGCTCAAGCTCCTATTTGCTGACAGTTTGTGGCGTAAAAACTGCTTCTGAAATGCTGAGTGGTGAACTTCCTGTGGGGCTCGGTCTGAAAGCACCTTAACACTGATGTTCCTTGAGCTTGAAGTTGACCTTTAATCACTTAAGAATTTATTCTCTGCTCTTTTGCCACCATTCCTCTTATCATTCTTATTGATTTTTCATCAATTTTCCTCCTTAAGCCACACTCACACTTTAATTTTTGAATAATGTTTGCAACCGTTTTCACAGGAACATGAAGTTATTTAGAGAGGGTCTTCAGAGATGGCTTTACCTTTAACATTCTTGTCTATGATTTTCTTTATAATCTTCTGAGAGCCCTATTTCCTTTGCTTCCACTGCTCCATGTTAATGGTGTTGAACACCATGTCACCAAACAGCACAGTGCTATCTGTAGCCCTATATACAGCCCCACTGACTGATTACAAGATTATTGACACCTGTGATGCTAATTAGTGAACACACCTTGATTTAACAGGCCCCTTTTGTCAAGTAATTTTCAATATTTTCTAAGTATAAAATAATGTTTGCCCAGTTTCATTCTATTGAAATTGTGTTGAAAATCAGTGATTATCTTAAATGAAGTGTGCAAACAATTTCGTCCACATGCCCATCAGTCAAAATCTTGAAATTGTGGACAATATTTGTATTCAGTCCAACTCAATTGTGTCAAACCCTATGAAAATGAACTGATTTGAATACACATGCAGGGCATATTTAGTAGCTTTTACTCTGTACAAATTTGTGAGAACTAAGCATCATGTTCCCTCTACTTTACAGTTTACACTCTACTTTGTTTAGATCTTCCTCATAAACTTTTAATGAAACACAGGATTTTGCAGTTGCAAAATGCGAAAAGGTTTAAGGTGTGCAAATACTATTGCAAGGTAATATACTGTAACAGCACAACAATTTGTTTCACTTTGTTGTTCCATCTGCATACGCCTCCAAACGGCTTTCAAAAACCTTTTTATGTTCACTTATCATTTTTTCCAAAGCTGCACCATCATCTTGTCGGCAGAACTAAGCTGCTATCTCATTATGATTCAGACAGTGCTGACAATGCGGCTAATTACCCTTTGCTGTCTCTTGTCATGCCTTATTCAAGCGGAGATATGTTAAAGATGCTATTGTTTCAACCTGTCTTTTCGTCCCTGTCAGGTGATGGATAAGTATGGAGACTTTTGCGGCTGTAAGAAGATCCGTGAACTATTAGGTCTGGACCAAGCTGCTTTAGACTTCAGCACTGAGAGAAAAGAACATAAGAGGCTCAGAAGAGACAGTGCCTGGAGTGCGCTGTAAGTAGAGAAAATATTGAAAATATCCAGGTCTTTGTTAATTAACCCTCTCAGAAAGATACAGATCAAACTGCAGTCATCTGGTCTAGCATTCATTTTCTACTTGACACTGAACAAAGAGCATTTTTTTTTTTGCCAGTTATTGTTACCCAGTAAAGCATATTTACATTTGTCCTAAATAAAACCATATAGGCCATTTAGTCTGCTAGCTTGCAGTGATTGTTCGCAACATCTGTGCCTCAAGGCCTATTGATATAAAAACAATAACCCAAATATTGAAATCAATATTGCCCTTTCTGTTGTACATTCCTCTGTAATACAAAATGGTCATTTGGTATTGTGTTGGAGTACTATGTTGGTCTTTACACTTTCATTCATCTCCTTCGTGTGCTGTTTAGCACCATTATCTATTAGCATTTTTGACCAATTCATGTTTTTAGCACATACTTTTATTAACGGCTGTTTCCAATAAACTGTGAAGGTGTGTGTATCTCCATGCATTACCTAATGTGTGTCCTTACAAAGAAAGGTCCGAAAGCATTATCTTGCACTTGAGGAAGAACAGGACATTCTGAGAAGTCATCACAGAACAGACACTCTCTTTTAAAGAACACAATGTAGCTCAGGGATATGATTTTAGCCTTGGACATTTTGACCTAATTTTCCTGGTTCTTCATGTGTTTTTATGTATCTTTGTGGTGACACTGTTCCAGATTTAACTCCTTTGACGTAAAGTACCAGATCTGGAAGCTAGGAGTGGTGTTCACTGACAATGTAAGTTTGGTTATGTCCACAACTCATGGCTCATTGGATTTATTTTGCATGTTCGCTCTCCCAAAACAAAAATCAACATGCCACGTTATATTCTACATGCTACGTAATAATAAGTTATGACTGAACATTGTGTGCAAACAACGTAATATTTGATGATTAAATCAAGATTTTATCTAATGAAACCACACATGTCTCAAAGATGATGGCAATATCCTGTCAGTCTACCTGTCTGAAACACATTTGTCAGGCTGTTCTTGTAATTTAATATATTTTGTTTTTCTCTTGACTTGTCTGTGTGTGTTTTAGTCCTTCTTATATTTGGCCTGGTACATGACCATGTCAGTTTTGGGTCATTATAACAACTTCTTCTTTGCTGCTCACCTTTTGGACATCGCCATGGGCTTTAAGACGCTTCGTACCATCCTTTCCTCTGTCACACACAATGGAAAACAGGTGCGTGTGTTTTAGGACTGTGCTAAAAGATGTAAACAGAATATATAATTTTTCTTTAAAGCCTTGAACTGGAGAATTTTCCATATTAAATTATTTGCCTCTGTCTCTCTTCTTACAATAATTTTTGCCTTTTTAGCTGGTGCTGACCGTGGGACTTCTGGCTGTTGTGGTATATCTTTACACTGTCATAGCCTTTAATTTCTTCAGGAAGTTTTACAACCAGAGCCATGACAACGAAACTGACGATATGAAGTGCAACGACATGCTTACTGTAAGTTAAAAACTGAATCCCACCTTTTCTTATCTGTTTACTTCCATTTGCAGATGCATATTATAACACTTGCATGTTTTGGGGGGTTTTTTAAATACATTTTTCTTCTCAAAATAAAAAAGAAAAGTATTGCAAAATAACAATTTCTAATTGCAAGGCTCTACACAATCCTTGGAAGGCTGCTGATTCTACAGTTATCCATCTGAGTGCTGGGCACCTTTTACAAAGTGACATCCATTAAGGTCATTGCTAAAGTTGAGAGGAAGGAAAAAGATGTGATTGAAGAAGAGCAAGTGCCAGAGCCTTGAGAGGCTTTGTTAAGCGGAGCTGTTTCAACAGTTTCTTGTAGGTAAAATAGTTTAAAGCATGGACTTCAGCTGGAGTTACAGCTTTAAGAGCCATAGAGGTGCATATCCACAACACGAGGCACAAATGTAGCCTTGTGCTTCTCCTGTGATATCAGACATGTTTTACCAGGGTTGCAAAGTCAAAGAAGCAGACTTTTGCTAAGTAGTTCAAAGACATATTTTAATATAATTTCAGAAAAAAAAAAAAAAAAGAAGGCCCATAGCCTTAAGAAAGAGTTGAGACACAAAGCCCAGGAACTTCAGGCCCTCTTTGACATTTCCATTGACTGAGCTACTTCATCAGCCAGTGTAGGTTTACCATGTTTGATCAAATTCAATCAGTGCAGACATCTACCAGTACATTTTGTGAGCACTTCATACTTTTCTCTGCTGACAGGGCTTTTAGAAATGCTAATTTCATGTTACAGCAGAACTTGGCAACTGCCTACGCAACTTAAAATCAAACCCCTTCATTAATGACCATAGCATCACTCTGAGCTTGATTGGCCAGAAAACTCTCCGGACCTGAAACCCATAGAGAACAAATTACATATTGTCGAGATGAGGGTGAATGATACCTGACTCAGCAAAGCTAATAATCTGAAGGCCACTTCTAAAATAACCAGGCTTCCTTAACACCTTTGCAGAGTCAAAGGCTGACCACTTCACTGCCATCTTGAATTGATGCAGAGAGAACAGAAGGAGACAAGTATTTATTGTATATATCTCATATCACCCAGACAAAGTTCCCTATTGAAGTATGTATTTTAGTGGGCTAATATAGAGAAATATATTTTTTTAAGAAACTGCGTTGTGCTTTATCTTTAAATGTAAGCTGCAATCATCAATATTAATGAAATACAACACTTATTAAATAAAATCAATATAATAAAAAATATATATTATGTATTATCAAAACCTTTTTTTTCACTATGTCCCCTCTTTTGATTTTTAGACATAGATAAAAAAGCAAAGGCAGCATCTCCATTTCTAAAGTAAAAACAACCCTTTTGTGGTCATCCCTCAAAAATATGATAGACACATGAAAAAGGCACCCCCAAAGATCTTAGAGTGCCTCTTTGTTTGCTGGTTTATGACGTTAAAACCCAAAGGCCTGATCTATTCTAATATGGACAACACTGTCAGTCACAAATGCCGGCGGATTGCATTTGAATGAACCCTGCTATTATGGGAGGAATGGGATATTACACTGAATCATCAGCACACATCCCCTCTGTCGCTGTATATTTTGATTAAATAACAGTCATTCGAGATCATTTCATATCTATAGTAGAGAAGTACCACAGCATTTTGAAGCTTGTGGACTAGGAAGACAAGTACAATAAAGTGTTTTTGTTTTACTTTCATGCCAGTTCTTTGTGATGAATAGAAAAGTTGGCACTTAAACACAAATCAGACATGGCTGGACAATGTGAAAGGTTGATTCTTCCCATCACACTGTGTGAGATGAAGAATATTGATTGCAAAAAGACCTTTGCACCATGTTCGCACTTTGAATTTGTACAAGAATCCTGTTAGCTCTAAAAATTTTCTTATGAGGCGGCCAGCATGGAGGCAGGCATGAAAGTGCCTTAAACATATAATTGTCTGTACCAGCATGTATTTTCACCCAGCAGTGTTACCTTTGCTGAAAATAATCGTTCCTTATTTCACACCATTTTAAAAACAGTCACAGAAAAAATGACAATGAAAAACACCTTAGGTGGTAATACTTTTCCTTAAATAATATGCAAAATATACCACAACCAATAATGTTTTTTTTTCTTAGTGCTACATGTTCCACATGTATGTGGGAGTGAGAGCAGGTGGTGGGATTGGTGACGAGATCGAGGATCCTGCTGGAGACGAGTTTGAAGTGGAACGCATCATCTTTGATATTACGTTCTTCTTTTTCGTCATCGTCATCCTACTCGCCATCATCCAGGGTGAGTGCAAGGGTGGAATATTTTTTGAACATGTATGCAAACAAGCCTCACACATGCATAAGCAGGTATGCTGCAGTTTTTTTGGCTGCAGCATACATCCAACTCACAAATACAGATGTCGTTCAACAGTTTCTGAGTGAATCGGGTCATGAATATTTCATGTGTTAGAGGAAATTTAGCCGCGTATCTCTTCATCCCTCAGTGCCAGATGCTTTTCACATGAAATGACAGAGATTTCAATGAACAGTTACAAAATGTAGTCCCTCTCTTAGGCTTAATAATTGATGCCTTTGGAGAGCTTCGAGACCAGCAGGAGCAGGTGAAGGAGGACATGGAGGTAAGGGTTGACAAAAATATCTTCTCCACATACATATTTGACCTAAGATAGAATTTCAATATCTTGAAAAAAACTCAAGCAATCTGATAAGGGTTATGTATTATTAAAAGATACAATTCTGTAACCACAACATGATTCCAACATTTGGAAGATCCAGTTTATAACGTTGTTTTTAACATCAGCCTTTATTTGCTGAGCTCCTGTGTGCAAAAAATTACCCAAAATAAAATGTTTGTTGAAGAATATTCTAATACATATTAACATGATTCCTTTGCAGAAAACATGTTTTGGTGTAACTATAAAAAATACATTAGCGTATGTAATTTTTAAAATATCTAATCCATTTAGCGAGCCATTTCTGCATGGTGAATGAAAGCCCATACTTTCTTCCATTGTTTCTTCCAGATTCAATGTTTAAATCCTGACCACTGCAGACATACTTGGCTCATACTGAGTGTGCACTTTTCTATTTATACATAAAAATCAATTTTAGTATAGAATAAGGAACTTTGGCATACAAATGTATAGAAACAATGCATGGAATGTTGTTAGTGTTTGTATAGCAAATCAAACCGTAGTATTGGCATCAAAGATAATCTGTGCCTTGTTTTGATTCTTCTCATTATTTGATCATTTATCAGTTGTATATTTTTTTCTAACAGTGTGAAAAGTGTTATCTTTCGAATATTTTATTACAACAAGAACAACAAACAAAGGTGGATGTAGCAAAATACCCAAAGAATCCTTTAGCTCTTAGAGGTTCTCTCTACGAAATTTCACAGCTTGCAGTTGTTAAAACCACATTTACATGCATAGAGTATTTTAATGGAGTCCTCAGACTACATGGTCTCAAGAGACAGCTATCCTCAGCCACACACAGCGAAGAAGATGAGCATAGTTGAAAGAAAGAGGCAGGCTGACTCTGGGTAACAGCAGCAGTTTGTAGTGAGAACAGTCCAACAAAAACAATTACAAGCAAGTCACTGAATACAGCTTTGATTACTAGACTAAGGAAACAAGTTGCAGACATCCTTTGACAAACAAAGTGTTATGTCACTAAATGTGGAGCAGTTCTGCCCACTGGTATTTGGTTGTCTTGTAGTGAGAGCTAGACAGCAGTGTTTGCATCACAGCATCTGCAGAAGAATAATGAACACTAAGAAATGGTTCAGCACACCTAAAAAATATATATATATATCTTTTTATATATATATTTGTGTGTGTGTGTGTGTTTCAGAGGAATTTAAGCATGAACCAAATACTTTATGCTGAGTGGTTGCTCTAAAATCTTGAAATGTAGAAAAAATATGTTAGCATATGTTTTGGTTTAGTTTTGTCCTTGCTTTTAAGGCAGAACCTATTAATTTGTGTTATGTACCTGTATTTCTCATACAGTCTCTTTTACAGTTACATTGGTTTTATACATTTTCCCAGTTGTTACATTTGAGTGCTCAATCATGATGAACTGAGTGCTCCACTTTCAACCTCTAATAATTTGTTGTTGTTAATATGAGTGTCCTAACACACATATTGCATTACAGTAAGCAGCAAAACAAACATTTTACCATGTTGCTTTCATAGAACACATCTGCAATAACTGTGCAGAAACATACATTTTTTTATTAGCAAAAATCTTCTATGGGAAGGGGTAAATTAAAAAATATCACTACTAACACCATTTCTAGCAAACTATCTCCAATATTTTTGTTACGGAGAATGGATGTCTTATTCTCATTGTTTAGATTTTAAAATTTGTTTTTAGTGTTCATTATTCTTTACATGTTGAATGAGTCATGAGTTCTTATTTCTTTCTCTCTGCAGACCAAATGTTTCATTTGTGGAATAGGAAGTGAGTACTTTGACAAGATCCCTCACGGCTTTGAGACTCACACTCTGCAGGAGCACAACTTGGCAAACTATCTGTGAGTTGTTTTATGCTGGTTACCACTAAGTGTGGGCATGTATTCGTCGAAATCTAAAAAATGTATTATTCAATTGCTGAGCATTACAAATTATACTTAATAAGTGACACATATATTTATGTTGATTTACAAAGAGAATGTGAAAACATTTCTAACATTTAGTTTAAAAGAAAACTGTCCATTCATCCATCTATCTAGCACCACTTAATGCATCAGGGTTACTTTAGGGCTAGTGCCGATCTCTAGCAGTCTACAGACAGTCCAGAGTTAAATTACTTCATTTTGAACCATACTACAAAACAACAAACAATAAAAATGTCTTATACCTGGTTAAGAAGAATCATTAGGAACATATAGAGGAATGTAACTAGGAAGAAAAATCATGTAGATGGCACTTGTACTGGTTGCTGCACAATTATACAATTTTTGCTGTCTGTTACACAGTGCATTTTGTGTTACATTTAAAGTGCACTGTTTGTCTGAACAGGTCAGACATGAAGCTGAATAAATAGAAAACCAGATTTTGCTGCTTTTTGATTTGTAACAGAACTGATTTAGTGCATTTTATATTTAAGAGCAACAGCTCAGAATGCATTATGTTAACAATTAAAGAACAAGCCATTCATTTAATGAGATCAATACTGACAAGTTGATCTGTTTTAGTAATATAGTTTAATATATGAATTACTATATCTAGATAAATTACAGAAAGACTGACTTTTTCAAGCCTTTTCAAGCAACTGTAATTTTTTTTTGCTACTAAGGGTGCTATACCTTTAACTTCCCAGTTTAGTGGAACTGAAAGCCACTGATAAAACTGAACCATTGCAAAATTAAACAGTCTCTCTCGCAGACCACTTTGGACCAGCAGATCGAGAATTCAGGGAGTTACTTGTAAAGCTAGGGCAACATTAACCACTGTAGATTAAATCCTGCATCAGAGAACCAAAGACATCGGATCAGGTAACTGTCATTTTTGTTTCATTGCCAAACAACTTTGAGCTTAGTTAGGTCTTCAGTTTAAGGTGAGATCAGACTGCTATAAAGTGATGACCTGGGTCGCATGACTTATTCATTAACCCTCTTAAGTCACATAGGCAAGTTCTTGAGAAGAGCAGGTGATGATGAACACTGGCTGTAGAATGACCTATAAAATCATTTATTGTACCTCATCTTAAGGTATTGCTGGGGTCAACAATTACATATTGCTATAAGATTTGAATATTAGAAATTATGATGTACAGTATAAACCCCCCACACCCAGGAAGAAGAAAGTAAAACATACAATATTAAGTAGAAAGCAAAATCTTTAAAGCAGCATAAAACAAACTGCAATACATAGTGTTGGCTTCCCTACAGCTGCTTCATTTTAGTTGCAGCAACGATTGCAAAGCTATTCTCTAATAATTTTGTTCTGAATTTAGGTTTGTTCCTGTTAAAACTGATGCATTTTTGTGCATGCAGAGCAGATCTTTAAAGAAGATGCAAAGTGATAGACATTTGCAATTCAGCAGGCAGTGTGTAGAAACCTTTTTTTGCATGTGTGCCTTCATATGCCGATCACATTTTAATAACCTTGCCCTGCAAATGTATGGGTGGAGCAAATGTAATAATTTACCACGTTCAGTGCTTTTCCAAAGCTGAAACTCATCTGCTGCCTTAGTTTTTGCCTCTTTTTTTTAGCAACTCTAAGAGTCTGATGCAAACTCTCATAATAAAATTTCTGCAACCATTGTGTCCATAAAATTAACATTGAAAGTAGTTAACCAAAGTTCTGTAAATATGTAAACATATTTGTGTCATCAAAATTACCAATAGAAGAATACGATTGATAAAGAAATGACATCCCTCTTATTCATGCACACACACAAAAAAATACACATGCAATTTATCACTAACTATTTGGAATCTTTGAGAATTAGGCCACTAAAACAATACATTAGACCAATGGGAAATATTTTTGCTCAATAAAAAGTATGTTTCACACCTGCATTAAGATTGAAGTTTTCTAAATCCATACAGAATTTGAACAAATGTGTTCATTATAATATATTGAATATGTTTATAAAGGTGCAAGAAAAAAAATCTAAATCCAGTTGCCATAATCTGTTAGCAAATAGAAAATAAATGGAATCTCTTGGTCATAAATGTTGAAACATTAAAACCAAAACAATGGAATGGCTTGAACCCTCTGTAGGGTTAGAGTATAGTTTGATAATACATTGCATGCAGTACGTTGTGTGGTATTACATGAGCTACAGGTGCATCTCAAATTCCTAAACCCCTTTGTCTAAAAGGTTTAAACAAGGCAAAAAGAAAAAAAAGATCTACATGTTATGTACATGTTAGCTCTTTGGGTGCATTTGATATACATTCAGTCCGCTAAAAAATTGAAAAAAAAAAAAAAAAAAAGGTAATTAGGAGTAAATTTAGGGACACTGATCCAAATGTTTGAAAATTGCTTTGATACTGGAAGTGGAAATGGCTGACAGCATTTCTCTTTAATCCCTATTTAATTTTCTGGAGTAAATTCTTTACTAATTGCCAATACCAAGAGCTTAACTGAGCCTAATTATGTTGGATCCTGCAGAGTGCTGTTGCAGCCTTTAAATTCATAATTTTCCCTTTTTTTATGATTCTAATACATCGTAATGATTCCTAGTACATATTAGCCCACCTAAAAAGAAATACAAAGACTTTTAATCTCCAGCTCAATCAGTTGTTTTAAGTATTGACTACTGAAGCCTAGTTCAATCTGAAAAACTCACACGAAGAGAAAAGAGAATTAGGAGGAATGTATTGATACAATTACATTGTCTTTGGCGCTCAGACCTTGGCAGGAAACGTAGAGCTTAATTTTGATAGATATGCATGAACAGGAGTAAAGAGCAGGGCTGTGTCCCGACCAGGCCTGAAACTGGTGGTGGAGAGGAGATAGATGAAGTTGGTCAATATGTAGACTGCTGGTTAGAGAGACGGTATGCTGAGCTTTATGGGGATATCCAGTGGATTGCGTGAGCTGATACTAGAGCTTCACTCAGGGACCTGGAGTCACAGGTTGAGAGAACCTGTCCATGATGAGGAAGCATGAAGCGAGGTTGGAGGGCAAAAACTCCCTGTTTGGAAGAAACCTCTGGCAGAACCAGGCTCAACATGGCGGTCTTCTGCCAGATCGGTTGAGATGTGACAGGGAACGCAGTGAGAGTCCGGGAGGAATGACACTCTGATGAAGCTTTAACCACAATGGTGGAGGAGGGGCTGGAGGTGGGTTGAAACGGTGTCATCTGAATGAAGTCACAGAGTGTATCCACCGCCTACGCACAGGAGCACACAAGTGGATCGGAGGCCTTTTAAGATGAACTTTGGTTGCCGATTGGCTTTCGTGTAGGTGTGGTTCAAAGTTGATTGGCTGAGTCGCAGGTGGGTGTAGAAAAGCAATGAGTTTCTTCAGTTGAACTTCCACCTAAGCTCCCTTTCACGGAACTCCCAGACTCCCCCCCTCCAGACACCTCCTCTATCTCCTGGGGGAAGCCAAAGACGCTCCCAGGCTGGTTGACAGACATAGCCTCTCCAGCTTGTCCTGGTTCGCCCCCTGGAACAACTTCCTGAGGGAGGGGCCCAGGGGCCCTCCAAAACGGTTTCCAAGCCACCCTAGCTGACTCGTCTCGATGTGGAGGAGAGACCGCTCTACTCTGAGCCTCTCCTGGATGACCAAGCTCCTCACCCTATCCCTTAGGGAGCCACCCCACTGAGAAAGCTCATTTCAGCCGCTTGTATCTGGAATCTCATTCTTTCAGTCATGATCAACATTTTATTACCATCGGTGAGGGTAGGAATATAGCATGGCCTTTTTTGCACAACAATCTCTTTAATACAAGACCTATCTAGTGTCGACATTATCTGTTTATCAATCTCCTGCTCCATTCTCCCCACACTAAGGAAAAGGACCCCAAAATAACCCTCCTACAATATGAAGGGGCTGCTTTGCACCAGTGGCGGCTGGTGGAGTTTTCTCCAGGGGGGGCTATAAATTCGAAATAGACATACTGTATACCAAAAACCAATCAAATGTACACAAAATTTTGACACAAGTAGTTATCAATGTTGGGTCAGATCCTGACATTTGACAAAGGAGGCAGGGAAAGTAGAATACAGGGCTAGCCTCGCTCTATGCAGTTAGCCAAGTCTTGTAGCTAAAACAGGTCCTGGAAAAGAACGTTTCTTGCACCATTTCTCTCTCTCTCTCCCTCCAATGCGTGGCTTGCTCCCTCGACTCAACCTGTCAATCACCCGGAAAGCCCCAGAGCTGCGCCCCGAGCTCTCCTATACCTTTGTATTGTAGAGGAGCTACTGCAAATGTACAATTTTTAACGAGAGTCAATGGGTAAAGATTTTTGTACCCTAGGGTGGAAATACGTCACCAATCTAACCAAAAAAATGGAATTACTAGTTATTAAAGGTTAAATATTTATCTTACACATCTAAAAAAATATGTGTAAATATATTTCGTAATATTTTAAATGTTAATTTATAATTAAATAAAAAAAATATATGTATGTTTTTTTTTTTATGTCTTAATCAGGGTCATTGGGTGGGTGGTGCGCGGCCCTAGCTCCCTCTATTGGCCAGCCGCCACTGCTTTGCACACAAACTGGCCCAGTGTATGCCGTAGGTCATGGTTAAATTGAGCCAGCAGAACAATATCATTTGCGAAAGGCGGGGACAAAATCTGCTGGTCCTCCAACCAGACCCCTCCATCCATTGGCTGTATCTAGAACTTCTTTCCATTAGGGTACTGAACAGGACAGTGCAGCAGCCCTGCCAAAGTCAAACGTGGTTCAACTTAATGCCAGCAATGCACACCAAACTCCTGCCCTGCTTGTACAGAGACTGGATAGCACCTAATAAAGGGCCTCTGACTATAACTTCTGGAGTGCATGCATTCCTTCTCATGTTCACAAAACACAAGTGGACCAACTGGGCAAATTCCTATGAAACATTGAGCACACTGCAGATGGTGTTTTTCCAGAATTACTTTGAGGCTGACCAAAACTCTCTCCATGCTCTCGCCAAGCTCCCCCAAGGTAGGAGCAACTCAGGAGTCATACAGGCCAACCAGGCTTGATAGGACTGTTTCTTCAGCTTGACACCATTTAAACTACCCTTTGAAAACCGATCCGTGCCTAGTTCGGACCAAGCTCTGATCATTTCACCATACCTAGCTCGGTTCCTTACGACCTTTTACACATCACGATAGCACAGTTCCCCAACTCCTAGTGAAAATCTGTGGTACTACTTCTCTCTAAGGTGAATCAAGCAAATCAATATGGCAGCGCCCAAAACATTCAGGAAGTTTGGTCATAATTGTGATATTTCATTGTTTGCAGAAAATGAATGCAGAGAATTTACTTGAAAGAGTTGGCTTATGAGAAGTGGATATGGCAAACGATTGTCTAATCAGAGCTTACAGATGCAGGAAACAATGACAGCCATTGAGGTTTATCACACTGCTAAGTAGAATCCTCACTGGAAATTGTGTGGCATGGTTGGGAAGCTAGTATGTCTATAAATGTCTGAAATGGTTTTGGAGATGATGTAATTGTAAGGAGATGATGTGGTCTTCTCATGAGCGCTTTGTTATCTGAGAACCACGCCTGATCTGAACCACGTTCTCCTGATCACGCTCCAGCAAATGTTATTGTGGTTTCCCACACGAGAGCTGAAATCCCCCTAAAAAATGATGAAATCCCTGATGCACGTTATTCAGCAACCTCGTCAGGGACCACAGGGCTAAACTCTGACACAAAACGGCTGAGCTGGGGGAAGAAGGGCAGCCACTACCGAAGGCACTAATCTAATATGAACCCTTTCATATGTTTTCTCTCATTTTATTTCTGCTTTAATGCATGCCAAGTATATACATATATAATCATTGTATAGTAGCACAACAAAACCAATTTCTATATAAATATTTTTCTTTTAATGTCAATTTTTTTAAATGCTGTAACAGTTGCCTGATCATCTTTCCCCTTCAGATTTTTCCTGATGTATCTTATTAACAAGGATGAAACTGAACACACTGGACAGGTATGGTAATTATTTCCTCTCTTATAGCACAAGGTACAACCAAAGATGGAATTAGGTGGGCACTTTAAAGGCCCCCTGACAATTTAACTGTCATTGAAAGATCACGTCTCCTTTAATTTATTCATCCTCAACACTCCGCCCCCATGTCTCGGTGACCTATTAATTCCTGCATTTGCAACGATAATGACAATCTGTAATGTAACCTTTTCGGGTTAGAATGAATTTGCATTCATGCAATCCCTGTAAAGCCATACTGTATTACCCTACTGTAGGTATGCACAGTTAATGATACAAATCCCCTCCATGCTAATCAGGTTGGTTCCCTATTACAACTTTTATTTCTTTTAAATTATGTTTTAGTTTTGCATTATGTTTTTTTTTCTATAAAGACGCAATTTATAATTTAAGCCTGATATTATTTCAACTACAATTTTCATTTTATTGTAAAAAAAAAAAAAAAAAAAACCTTTTGCACAGAGCAACATGCATAATTTCTCTTTCACTTCCATCTTACAGAGCTGTATATTTGCTTTTATCTTTCTCTACCATTGGTTTTGTTTTTTTTCTCTGAAAATACTCTACATCAGAGAATAAGTCTTTAGTGTTTGCAGGTAAATGGTATTAAATCAATGATCATTTCTTTCACACATAATTTAGAATTCGGCACAGAATGCTTCCAATATAACGCTGTGCCATCGATCAAAGAAAGGAATTTTTTAATCTTTGTGAACCAGTTTAACATTTCAGTGATATTTCTAAAGTGGATTAAGTTCTGATGCCTATTCCTGGATAAATCTTTTATGCTCTATCAGATATTTTAAATCTCTTTCTATCAAATGGAGAGCTGTTGAAAGATATATTTAAAGGGGAATGCATAATAGTTTATCCTAACTTTAATTTTCATTTGTGCTACAGCCTTTTGCTCAAACCAAATCCTCAAGATCCGATAGATAGAATAAAAAAAAATTGTAAAAAGGTTTGCATAGTTCTTGAACATTAATGACACTAGGACACATTTAAACCCCCTACTCGCACATGATAAATGAAAGGGCTTTTAAAATATTGATGTACAATCAAATGGAATATCAGTCAATCTCTTTCTCTTTTATTTGGCTTAGACACAGAGAAAAAAAAAGGCACAGCTTATTTTTCATTGCTTAAAATGTAGCAGAATTGTTTGCTAGAGTGACATTGAACCTGATGCATGAGGAAATGAAGTGTGGGAACAACACATAAAAGGTGCTCTAAAAGATTTCAGCAAAATGTGCTCACAAACAGCAGCTGCAATCACCTCAGTGGTCTTTCTGCTGACTTGCTGCTCAAGCTGTTTGTAATAGCCATGACAGGAACTGTGTTGTTCTGTATTATCTTCCATAAGCCTAGAGTTGTTCTTCACTTAAACCCCCTGTTGCAGTTGTTAATTAAGTTTGAGGCAAAAAGTGCTTTTAACAGACACTGTTTCAGGAGGATGAAGAGAAATCCACTACGTTTTGATAGATTTTTATGGCTCAAAATATAAAATGTCCCCTTTTAGAAGTTTCTTTCCTGTGCCAAACATGCAAAAAAGGAAAACTATACTTACACTCACCATGCACACTCCTAAACAGTTTATTTTTGTAACTACCGTGTATTGTCAAAAGATGTATAAATTAGATGTAGCGTTTTGATAAATGAAGGCTATGTTGACTTTTCAGGAATCCTATGTGTGGAAAATGTACCAGGAGCGTTGCTGGGAATTCTTTCCTGTGGGAGACTGTTTCCGTAAGCAGTATGAGGATCAACTCGGCTGACAGAACATCCAAGAGGTCAAAACCCTCCCAAGATAGTGTTATTGCTCGGGAGCCACATTGCTTGTTGCCTTTTGACTCTCTAAATTACCTAAAATTTGAGTGTTTATGTTAATCCTATATTAGCTTTTGGAATGATTTATTTTTCCCCAAACAACAGTACTCTGATGTGACACTGAATAAACGAGTTGGAATCAAAAGAATGACAACTGCTTGTTTATGTTCTGATCTAAAAAATGTTTTGGAGGGTCTTGTGGGTTGGAACCTTTTCATTTCAGATCTTTACATCTGCAAATATACTTAGGTTGGCAGTACAGGACTGTTAAATACATCGCTATTTCGCACAATAAAAGCTGATCTGATTCATAGCCAGAGTAATTGTTTTTGGCCTACAGGAACTTATCTTTTTTTGTATCACCTCTGTTTGGCAACCAATTTCACTACAGGATATCTAGTTACACCATTCCCCTTCTTGCATTAACTGTTTTTACCCTGCTTTGCTGCTAATCCATCCTGTCTCTTGGGGATCCTGTTCCTCCTGTGATCAATTTAAATCCTTCCTTACTTCCTTTTCCCCAGATCTCAACTCATCCTTCAATTACCTCTTTTCCCATCTCATTACCAACTACATTGTAGGTTGCTGTCAGATGTCTCAGTGCTCAGGTCAAAGTCCTGTCATAGAAATAGATCATCAGGAGTACGATTAATAAAACAGTTCACTTATGAACAAAAAGCAGTGATTTAAATATAGAAATAGCGCAACAGGGTTTGTTAAGTAGCTGCAGCAGAACAAGTTCAACAGCAGGATGATGGCCATGAGAGGGCCACCTTGAGGGATTGTACTCATTGTCCAAGTGTCAAACACTGTACCTACAAAAGCAATAAATATCAGCGCACCTAATGATTTGAGCTGATGATTGACCCGAAATGGGCTGTGCAAAAGAAACATTTTCTATTGTCAGGTAAATAGTTTCCCTATTAGAAGAATTCCTTGCAACTTGTGACTGCAATAATTAAACCCAGTTGAGATTTGTCTTTAAATCTAAAAGCTATAGCAGTAATATCAAATGCTGATGATCAGTGAAAAATGAAAGATCTGCAATGCTCATGAACCTTTTAAGATTTAAAGTGGTTATAAGAAGACACTCTCTTGCCTGATTCAAATAGAGATTCACTGTCTCCTCTTTCTTGTATTAGATATGCCTGCCATTTTTTGTGTAATGTTCCCTCAGCAGAGGCAAGCAGCTCGACAGAACTGATTGCCTTTAAGTGTTATTTGCAGATTTTCCCTACAAGTATGGTCAAATGGCCAAAAAGGATGGGTTTTGGGGACGTTCATACTTATTCTTTGTACCTATTCTGTACCTTGGGACTTAACATGTTATTATTACAAAGGTTTGCTGTAATACTTAGATTGGAAAATTTGGGATAGTGTTTTTAATTTTTTGGAGGAATTTATCTTTTTTCTGAAGGCGATACAATCAAAACAGAAATGTAAATAAATTTTTTTTTACTTTTAACTGTTCCTTTACAAAACAAGCTGTTGTCTGTGTTTGATGAGTATCAATCCTGTTTTGTTTCATTTTTTTTTATAAACTAATGATAAAGATATATCAATAAATGAACAAAAAACTAAGGAAACTAAAGTAAGAAACCACAGGAGTACGATGAAAATCCAGTAAGACCGGAAGTAAACCCTATTAGGTCATAGACATTGGCAGAAAATTCTCGAACCTAGAGGTCTCAAACTGAAATCCTCCAGGCCCAGTGTCCGATAACTTTTAGGTGTGCCTCTGCTTCATCACACCTGACTCCAGTATGAGCTCGTTAGCAGAACTTGGCTGCTATTAATGAGGTAGTTTAGCTTTTGGATTCAGGTGAGTAGAGCAAAGAATCTAGAATTTGAAAGAGGATTTAAGTACTTGCCTCTAACCACTGCCAGACACTGACAATAGGCACCAGAGGTTAAACATTTAAATGGATATATATATATATTTTAATGCAATTAAAATGTATAAATATATAGTATAATAGATAGCTTTATTATCTTTTGAAAAGTGCCTTGAGACAACCTTTGAGAATGTGTACTTATAAATAAATAAACAATCTAATTGCAACTGGATATTTAGGATAGGACAAATAAAGACCTGAAATATTCCAGTTAGTGTGCAATGAATCTAAAATGTATGAATCTTCAAGTTTTATCAATACATTATGGAAAATAATGAACTTTATCACAATATGATAATATCTTAACAAGGACCTGTAACTCTTGCCTGCTAGCATCTTACACCCTGCAGTTATAATCCAGCAAATAACTGCAGGGTGTAAGATGCTAGCAGGGAAAGCTTACATGGAGCGCCATAACCAAGTGGCTGGAATAGTGTACAGGAACATCTGTGCAGAGTATGGGCTGGAAACCCCAAGGGCAAAGTAGGAAACACCCCCAAAGATGGTAGAAAATGACTAAGCCAAGATCCTGTGGGACTTCCAAACAGACCGAATGGTAATGGCAAACCAAATGGACATTGTGGTGGTGAACAAAAAAGCAGAGGAAAGCTGTACAAAGCAATACCAAGTGATAGCAACATCAGGAAAAAGGAACATGAAAAACTAGAGAAATACCAGGGGCTCAGAGAAGAAAACCTGGAAGGTCGGCATCAGTGGTACCCTTGGTCATTGGGGCACTCGAGGCAGTGACCCCCAAACTTGAGGAGTGGTTCCAGAAAAGTGCAGTCCTAGGAACTGCAAAGATACTGCGCAGAAAAGCTATCAGGACCAGCTACATCTAAAACTGATTAACAGCCTCATCAACCTTGGACTGGAGGGTAAGGAAAAAGAGGAAACCTCTCATTACAAGCTTAGTATATGTTGAAATTTAGCCCCCTTTTCTGGACAAAAAAAAAATCAATCATAACGTCATAACATTAAACCCACAGAAATTCAACCTCCATTTCCAGTTTCCTCTGGTGAAATAAAATCGTCTTAAAAGACACTTACCAGCTACAGATTTTTCAAACAACATCTGCTTTTAAAGCAAGGAACCTTACTTGTTCCAAAATAAACCCAAATTAAATATACTGAATGTTTAAACATTAATTGCAACTTTGTTTTATTAAAAGATATTGTGAACAAGATTGATTTCCTTTTGTCCCTGCCAAACTTTCTATTCTATCTCCTTCCTGATCTTTTATTTCAGCAGCTGGATAATCCCAAGGCCTAAAGGTCTGGATGTTTTGTAGTTTATACAGCATAACTGATTTTATTAAAAACATTTTCTGTAAGTAAGCCCAAGCTTATACCCACAATAATACTTAAAGGATATGTTAGACAAAATAGCTACAGTGTTACTTTGGCATCCAATGTATATTGACTGAAAATGCAACAGTGGCTCTTAGATATATAGTGAGGAAAATAAGTATTTGAACACCCTGCTATTTTGCAAGTTCTGATTGAAATCGAGCAGTGTCTGACATTGTCATTGTAGGTGCATGTGCACTGTGAGAGACATAATCTAAAAAACAAAAATATCCAGAAATCACAATGTATGACTTTTTTAACTATTTACTTGTATGATACAGCTGCAAATAAGTATTTGAAGAACAGAAAATCAATGTGAATAATTGGTCTAATAGCCTTTGTTTGTAATTTCAGAGATCAAACGTTTGCACACACTGTAGGAGGGATTTTGGCCCACTCCTCAACATAGATCTTCTCTAGATCATTTAAGTTTCTGGGCTGTCACTGAGAAACTCTGTGTTTCTCAGTGACAGCCCAGAAACCTCAATGATCTAGAGAAGATCAGTTAGGTTTCTGAGAAACACCGAGTTTCAGGTCTCTCCAAAGATTCTCCATTGGGTTTAGGTCTGGAGAATGGCTAGGCGTTCGTTATGTGTAAATTCCCCAGGAATATACACCATATATTGTTCCCAAACACAGCTAAACCCCCTCCTCTCTTCTTACCACTCTTCCCTGTTCTGTCAGCCTGAAGTAGATGAAATCTGTCTATGTTTACATGAGAGTCTGGGGTTCACGCGGTTAGCCACGTTTCCGGCAGACATAGAATGCTAGCCTCTGTAGCGTCTTTGATGATGAGTTAAAGCCGCCAGGTGATCCAGCTAGTAAGAGAGAGATCTGACATTACCCATGATGGACGGAGGGGATGGTTGGTCTGTATCTACTTCCCCGGTGGTGTTGTCTGACTCCCGCCTGGCTGAATCATCTCTTCCTCCTCAGCTCATGGGGGATATGGGCTTGCTCTGTGTGTGGCAGTACACCAGAGCAGCTGGTCTAGGGTGTAAACAATTGGAGCCTTGTCAAATACACTGGCTCCGCATGCAAAGACAGCGAAAAAAGAATGAAAAATAGAGCTTTCCAGAAAAACTTTAGCCCCATTATGTTAGAAATAGTATGAGAAAGATACGAAGTCACACCAAAAATGAAAATAATAAAAAGATAGATGAAAGTAGGAAAAACTCAGGAAAATAAACGGAGCTGCTGAAACAGTCTGCCTGCTCCTCGCTGGCACAGATTAAGACCTGTATAGATAGGCCAGTATATATGCATATTTGGCTGTTTTAAGTTATCTGGCATTTTATTAACTTCATGCTAATGGAAATGCTCAAATAAAATATCCTTTGATTCTTTTTTTTGTATCTAAGCCAGATTTACAGTAAGAGAAAATATGTGCAAGCATTTGTATACAATGTCCAATGTCTCAGTTTTTCAGTCAGGATGTACCCTCTTTCCTCTGTGTTTTCTACTCATGAACAGTATGCGCCAGATAACTGAACACACAAAAAACACACAAAAAATCTTAAAAAAACAAAAAAAGAAAGAAATTACACTGCAAACTTAAGGAAATATCTTCTCTATTAACATGCTAATGTCAGGCAATTTTTTCTCTATAAAAGGGCAATCACTCATGAAATTTAGATACAATCCAATTACTATAACAACACAATCAAACTTTGCCATAAATGGGGTTGCACTGTGCTTGAGACAGAGTTTATATCTTCCCAAGGCCATTTTATATGGACTGTAACTGCCCAAGATATTCTCATG